TAACTAACGGGTGTCTTGTTTGTGCTTTGGAGTGTCGTCCATCCATATGTCGCACACACGGTGGGGAGGGGGGTGACTGAGTGACTTGGCTGCACACATGCATGCTATGCTGACTACTTGATGGATGGACCACTGCTCTCTCTGATTAAGGATGGGATAGCATAGCATAGCACTTGACGGCCACTTGAGCACTTGAGAGAAGAGGAGCGAGTGAGTGAGTGAGTGAGCACGTAAGTGTATGAATGACTCATGGATGGATGGATGGATGCGTGGACATTCCGTCCGTCGTGTCTATCCCTCCCTCCGTCTATATAAGGAACGCCTAGCCACACACACCCACACAGGCAGGCAGGCCTCTCTCCCTTCCCCCATTCCTGCCCTGCTTGTATGTGTGTGTGTGTGTATGGGTCCCCTCCTTTTTCCTTCAAGGCGTAGGCGTCGGCGTGGCGTGGCGCGGGTGCTTTTTTCTGTCCCCACACAGCACGCACCGCAGCGAGGTACGATCTAGGAATGCTAGCGTGGCTTGCTACGGACCCGTAGCAACACCGGCAGGCAGGCAGGCAGGCAGGAGAGTATCGCATTGGGTGTCGTGTTTGGTTGGTTGGCTGGCTGATCGATCGCTTGTGGGCAGGGCAGGGTGGCTGTGTACTGACTGTTGGTTGATTGAAATGTTTGTCTGCCCCCGTGTGTGTGTGTGTGTGTGAATGTGTCGATAGAGAACCATCCGTAATGTGTGTGTGTATGGGTGCTGGTCTGGTCTGGTCTGGTCTGTCTCTGTGTCTGCTGTCCTGGTGCCGTGTGTTTGCGTGTGCGTGTGCATGTGACTGTGGCTGTGGCTGTGGTGTGAATTCCTTTATTGTAAACAAGGCCCACGAGGCAACTCCTGGCAAGAACGAACTGTTATTGTGGCTGGCTGACTGGCTACGACCTTACCTCTCCTGTGTCCGTCCACTGACTACCTGCTTTTGATTGATGATGATTGATTACTGGTCAAGGGTGGTGTGCTGTGGTGAGTGGGTCGTCACGACACGACACGACACGCCACCCCAACTGCAATGATAGCAATCCCTGCAGCAGTGAGGTGAGTGAGTGCATGTGTGTATACGTACGTACGTGTGTGTGGCATCTATCCTACCCATGCCATGCAACTCAGAGACACTAAAGTGCTGTGTCTGTCTGTGCGTATCTGTGTAAGTAGTGGGGTGGGGCCGGGAGTGAGTCGAGCAGCCGGCCAGGCAGCCAGGCAAGTCAGTTGTAAGTAAGGATGGATAAGAGACAGACAGGCAGACAGACAGACAGACAGAGAGACAGACGGCCGGACAAATGGCGGCCGTGCGGTCGGGTCGGTCCCTTGGAGGCTCGCCTTTCTGGCAAACAAGGCAGCTAGGAAGGCAAGAGCTGAACAAACGAATCAATGGGGCCGCCCGTCTGTCTGTCTGCCTGGCTGCATTGTGCAGTAATCTCGTTCATCACACACACGCGTGGCTGCTGCTGCCTGCCGGTCTCTGGATAGATAGATGCATATATATACGTCAGTCACACCCACAATTTGCTGCATGGCCTCTCTCTCTGGTGCGTGTGATGTGCGTTGGTTCTGTGGGGTGGTGGGTGATCTGATTGATGCACACGTGCAAAGCTAATGAATGACGTGTGCGCGACCGGCCAGGCAGCCAGCCACAAACACAGTTAACTGTGTATGAGAGGGTGGGCGTGGGTGTGAGAAAGAAAGGATTGATCAATCGCAGCGAGAGCAGCGAGAGACTTGTCTGTCTGTCTGCGGGATGGATGGGATGGGTGTGCGATCTATCGCAAATGACAGACACTTACTTTGCTGCATGGCCTGGCCTGGCGCATGTGATTGATGTGCGTCGGTCGGTTCGGTGGGGATGCGATCGATGCGCACATGCTAGCTAATGACGAGTGTGCGCGACCAGCCGACCGACCGACCGAACGAGTACCAGCGGACAGAGAGACAGAGAGACAGACAGACAGACAGACAGTCCTGACACAAAGACGCCAATTGACACAAATATCCACGTGATATGAATCCGGCCAAGCCAGGCACATGTCGGTCGGTGCGTGGCGTGGATGTGTGTATGGATGTGTGTGAGGGCTGGCGTGCACTGCACTGCACTGCGTCGCGTGGTGGGTTGGTGGGTGCAGTGAGGCCAGAAGGGATGGATCATTCATTGATCCATCCATCCATCGCAGCGAGAGAGACTGTCATGTCAATGTTGATTGATGTGATGTGATGCGATCGATGCATGGCAGACGGGGCGGCTAGTGTGTGTAACTGACTTGACCGTTGCACATGCGTTGATTGAAAGACATCAGATACATCCAGAGACCCATTCTCAGTTCCATCGCGTCACACACGAGTAGCAGGCGGAACAGCGCCCCGCTCCACGACGGACATGACAACCATGCACAGTCGTGAGAGGAGAGGAGCCGCTAGAGCACGAGATGGATAACACCCATGCAGACACAAGTCGACACAGCACACATGGGTGAATTCGGCCTGCCTCATCTCATCGGATGCATTCAGTCACGCAGTGCACGCCGGCGCCGCGCAGAGCGAAAAAGCGTCTGACCGAAAAACAAAGCAGGCATGGCCTGGCCTGGCCTGGCCTGCTGCATCGATTCGATGGGAAGGCTGGGTCACTCCACTCCACTTCACTTGCAGACCACACCAACCGCGCCCATCCATCCATCCCTCTGATCTATTTGATGGTGTGATCTGCTCTCTGTCGGTCTGTCTGTCGTTGTGTCTGTCTGTCTGTGTGTCAAGCCACAGGTCAGTCGAACGCGGCTCTCCGCTGCGTCCAGTGGAAGTCGGAGGAATGCGCCTGGGCCTGCAGTCAGCCAAACCAGACAGACGTGACGCCCACACACAGAGGGAGAACGGGCATTCAGTGTGCGTGAGTGACATCCGTGTGTGTTGTGCGTTGCAGAAAGTCTGACTGACCTTCTCTTGCTTGACCAGCTTGGAGGAGCGCCCGACCAGGTCAGTAGGCAGGAACTGCTGAGTGACGGACGGAGTCACCGACAAACACACCAGACAGACGGTGTCCGTGTTGGTGTGTTTGTAACTTGCTTGTGCCTGCCTTGTTGGTTTGTGATCGACTGCCCTGCCTGGCTGACCTTTTTGTATTCGGCATAGGATGACTTGAGCTTGTTGACGTCCTTGGCCTCGACGGCGGCAAAGATGTCCTTGGTGATGGACTCCGCCTTGGCCTTGTTCTCGCGATCTATCGGACCTCTCTTGGCATACGCACCGCTGCACACAGCCAGGCAGACAACAGACAGACAGACAGACAGACGCGCACGACAGACACATGACACACACAAACACACACACACGACAGGGAGTTCCTGCGCCTGAACCCAGGCCCCCCCACCGCATCACGATCGCTCACCTATTGAACAGAGTGAAGGCGTTCTTCTCCTTGGCCTGACGGATGAACGAACATGTATCATCGAGTGATGAACAAACATGAGAACATACATCTATGAGTCACTCATGAGTACCACAGCTGAGAAGTCGCCCTTGTTCACGGCGGGCTCAAGGTCCTGCAGGCGTCAGGTCAGGCACAATGCCCGTCAATCTCATCTCATTCAATCCACCCATTTCCCTCCCTCCCGTCCGTGTGTGTGGTGTGTGTGGTCGCTTACGAGGAGTCTGATGCCGTACGTGCCGCGAGCTCTCTGCACCGTGGCATCGCTCACCTGCAACCCATCATCGCATCACAGCCAGATGCAGCATGGGAGAGGGAGAGAATGGATCTCGTCTGTCGTCACATAATGTGTCCAGATCTCCTTCCCTCACCGCTCCATCAGCGAAGGCGTTCTCCGCGAAGCCAAGACCCAAGGCTAGACCCAGCAGCGAACCACCTGCAACCAGCCAACAACAGCAAACAATGACCAATCTGTCATTGTGTCTGTCTGTCTGCGGCGTGAGTCGCATTGAATGCAATGGCATGCCTGCGTTGTGCATGAAGTTCCTCCGCTCGACCTCTCCCGTCATATGGAGCTGCGTTGGCTGCCGGACCGGGTATGTCTGGCCCCTCAGGGCGGAGGGCGGCACGAAGGCCAGCGCCACCTGCAGGCCGAGAGCCACAACCAAACACACTGCCTTCATCATGCTGCGTCGCTCTGTAGCTGCTCAGCCTAACCGGCAGCGGTTTCACGGAGCACCCTAGCCAACAACGTTTCAAGCGCGTAAATGCGGAGGGCCCAGCTCCGCCAGACCATCCCTCCTCTGCGTTGGCCTCCTGCAGGTCAACGGACGGAGTGTCTACTGCACCGACGAGGAGGCGGCTGCCATGCCCGGCAGCAAGATCTTCATGTCCTCTTCCTTACAGCGACGCTTCACTCTCGCCGAGCAGCTACGCCGCGCCATCTCTGCAGGGGCCGCGGCCCTGCAGCTGCCGCCACGCGGGAGGCGCGGCAGCTGACGGAGGGCGTCATACGCGAGGCAGCCACAACCATGTGGCATGCAGAGGCGATGATGACCGGCGTCGCAGACGGCGCCAGGTTGGTCTGCCGCCGCCAAGCGAGCAGGGTCGCCGCCTCTGGTCGAGGACGACGCTGCGGCCAAGAAGGCACCCCCAGATGAGGCAGACCACGAACTACAGACGCTCCATCAGGGCATCGGTAAACTATGCACAGACCATACCGACATAGATTGTTCAATCACACGCTGGCTAATGTGCTGAGTGTGTCAGGTCCTCGAGGAACTCCCTGCCGACCGTCTTGGCCTTGTTGGGGTTGGCAACCACACATACCGGTGACCCACCCAGACCAGCGTAGATGGGTCGAGGCCGTGTACATGACCAGTGTTTGGCGTGTTGTGTTGGCTTGTGCGTGTCAGGCGTGTGCGCTTGTTGCTCGACCTCGTTGTGGCGAGTCTGTGTCTGTGTCGAGTCGTTCCGGCCCGCCCTCCCATGCAGATAAGCACCACTACTACTACCGCCACCACACGCCTTTTGCAGACACCGACTGGCGCACCCACACGGCTACCGACATGATGCGGCAGCCGCACCACCACCAACAGCAGCAGCAGGCGGCTCAGCGTCCCTAGGCCTTTCATCCTTTTCCCTCCGCTCGTTCCGACAGGCAGCACAGCTCAACAGACGACTGGAAGGAACGTCAGCGGCGGCCGATAAGGAGGACATAACGGGTGGCCCTTAGCCAGCTGAGAGCGAGGAGCTGCTCGAAATTCATGCGTGATATTATGGGCGGGTGGCGATTGATCGGGTCTCCGTCAAGATGCTGACCAGGTCCAGAATCGAAATGACTGTGGATGGAGGCGGTGGTCAGCGCTCAGTGCAGTCATCGACAAAGGGAGGGTTGGCTGGCGCTCAGCTGGTGTTCGGCCGCAGATGACAGCGTGGATGCTGTGGGAGACAGGCCAGAGATAGATATTTCGAGTGCCGCAGCGCTCGGTCGTTTCTGTTGGAGCAGTGATTAATGTAGGGAGCTGTGCTTGGCATATATGGCGTAGTAGTTGTGTGGATTATTGGTCTGGATGTGCACTCAGATTGTTCAGAAAGTTCAGAAATGGGCACCAAGTATCCAGAAATGAATGACCTTTGGGGGATATCCAGAAAGAAATGGCCTCACAGGCCCACAAGTGAGGAGGGTCATTTCTGGATGTGTGGGGCTGCTGCTGGCTGGTATGGCCATGACTGAGTGCAGACCCTCACTTCTGGTAAGGACAGTCAACCCAGTTTTCGTTCCCATTCTTCAGAATGAGCCCCATTCCGCGTGTAGTGGATGCATCCTTCATGCTTCTGAATGGTATGTATCGCTGCATATGGTCGTGCTTCCCTCTCTCTCCCTCCCTCCCTCCCTCCCTCCTGTCTCCTGCCTCTCCTTGGTTTTAATACGTGAGCTGTGTGTTTGTGTGGTGTGCTGTGCAGCTCTCGCCCTCCCTCCCCGCCTGTCTGTCTGCCTGCCTGTCGACGGTGTGTCAACACTCGTGAATGACACGTAAAGGACGGACCAACGAGCATTGAAGCCCCCGCGTGCATTTAGTCATCAATCAAACACAGACCCATTTCTCTGGGGCGCCATCGATGCCATGCAGCACACAAGACGATTCTCGCTAGATTACCAACCCGAGCGACCCATCTTTCTTTTGTTTCAATCTGTCCGTTGCACATCCGTCACACAGATTGTACACATGTGATTTCTTCTTCCGAGCCCACACACACTGGCAAAAGGGATGGCTGTGCCGACCAGCCGTCCGTCGCTACTCAGAAGTGCAACCCCTCATCATTGCATCCATTCATTGGTCGACTGGTCCACTCCGATCGATTGTCTTGCACTCATGGAGGCACTCGACAGCGTTGACGAGCCGCGCCAGGTCCGCCTCGCCCACCGACCCCTCGGTGAGCATCGGCACCGCAAAGCAGGCTAGAGTCCGCACCACGCGCCGGTAGCGGGGCTGCTCGTCCAGCCGGTGGCCGTACTGCCCCACTATCGCGAAGGCCTCGGCAGCTGCTGGCAGCAGCAACACATCTGTACCAGGCACACAGACAGACAGCCACAATGGACGGGTAGGTGGCATGACGGATGTTGTGTGTGCGTGGGTGTGTGTGTGTGTGACTGACTGACTGACCTCCTCTGATCCTCTCGAGGACATTTGTGTCGTCGAAGAGCTCCACAGCCGCGTCCACCGCCTGGCCCACGAGCGAGCTCGCCGCGCCCGCACTCTCGCCCCCGTCTTGGTCTTGTGTGTGACCCACCAGCCGTGTCGAGAGCACCGCCAGCCCCCAGAGGCCCATGACCAAGCCACGCACAGTGAGGGGTGACGCCTCGTCGGAAATGCCGGCGGTGGGGTGCGGGTGGCACTGCACGTGTTGACTGCTGTCAGGGAGGGCCAGGAATGGCAGCCACTCGTCGGCCAGGGGGGCCGGTGTCTCTGCCGTGGTGTCGACGGATGGTTCAGACGAGGTGTTGGGGAGGGTCTGGATGAGCTCGTGGATGCTGGCGGCCATCATGTCGGCTGCACGGGCCAGATAGCCGTCGGACACGCCAACACCTGTACCCACGGCAAAGAAAGCAAAGCAAGCACTCAGCAGCAGATGATATGACTGACGGTTACGTATGTTTGCACCAACCAACCTGTTTTGGCGAGGGAGCTGAGGACGATGCAGAGGCTCAGCGGCGAGAAGCGGCCCAGCACATGGGTGTCCTCTACAATGGCAGACCTGATAGAGATGAAGCGGACAGCAGCCATACACCACCAGCTGACACACTCAATCATCTTGGCGGGCCTGGCCTGCTCGCTCGCTCACGCAATGTCGAGTGTCCCCGGCAGCCTGTTCTCAGCCCACAGGTCGAGCAGCGTTGCCAGCGACAGGCCCTTGACCCTCTGGCCGTGCCCTCGCTGCCTCACCCAGCCAGCCACATAGGCCGCCACATCCAGCAGCACTCCCCGGGGTCTGCGGAAGCCCCTCAATGCATCCACCTGACTGTCGCAGCTCAGCAGCCCCACCATGAGGCTGAAGAGCACATCGGGGTGGTACCGCGAGAGGCCCCCTGGTGTGTTGGCTGCGCTCTTGAGGGCCGTGGCCATGGCCATGACGATGGGTGGGTCGCAGATGGCTGACTTGTGGAGGGCGTATGAGAGCAGCGCCTGGTGGTGTGGGTGCCAGCTGCCGATCGTCGGCGCGAAGTGATCCGACACCTCTTCGAAGAATGCCTTGACACAACAAAGGAGAGCAACGAACGGTACTTAGTCGTCTGTGCTGTCATGTCGGTGGCTCACTCGCTTGACGCGGTCATCCAGGTTGGCCATCGACACGGCATAGCTAAGGATAGACACCTCCTGGACGAACAAAGCAAAGGCAAACGAGCCAGCCATAGAGCGCTTTATGTCGAGCCCCACGTGTGCCCCATGTCAGTCAGTCAAGTCCCTTACATGAGCAGAGAAGCCCGTGAAGTTGGTAGCGAAGGCCTCGACGATGGCGACCTCCATGACCTCGGTCACAAGCGGCGCCATCCGCCCCTGCACCAGGCCAGCACGCGCCAGCGACCACGGCAGCATCGCCAGACTGCCAGGCGTCACGCCTCTCGGCAGCGCAGCCACGGCATCCCTTCCACGCACCCTCATGGCCTCCACATGGGACCGCAGGTACTGCAGCAGACGGTGGCTGATGGCGTGGTGGATGGCCGGCCGGCGGATGCCGAGCTTGACGAGCGACCAGGCCACTGATGTGAGCTCGATGGGCCGGAAGAGGCGGGCGGGGGAGGGGCGGTTGGTCACCTTTGGGAAGGCCAGAGAGGCGAAGGTTGGGCTGTCGGTGTGGGTGGTGGAGTTGGGGTTGAGGCCGTCGGGCTGGATGTTGCTGTACCGCCACACGTAGGGCCACAGCCACGCTACCAACTGATTGACAGACACATGCATGGATGGATTTCACTGACTGCATCTCATCTGCCCACCCACCATCACCAACCTGATCTGTCTGTTTGGTGTCGGCGAGCAGCCCCATATCGGCGACAGCCCAGCAGATGAGGGCCACATCCTGCGGGTTCGCCCCCATCGGCGTCCGATGTCGCCGCCACGTCAGCGGAAACGATCCATCGCCCGACCGCCCCTCGTGCAGCTTCATGGCCTCCCCCGTAATGTCCTCTGGCAATGTTGCCGAATCGCCGCTCCTCACGCCCTCAGGCGGCGCATACGTCTGCTGTGCCTTGAAGAACCGGAGAACAGCCGAGGACAGCTGCCGTGATAGACCACCATTGTCCCGAAAGAGCCCCGAGTGCGTGCACGACCACAGAAGGAGTGCAAAGTCGCGGGCCGGGAAGCTGTCGACGGCCGCTATTTCGTCGCCATCTGACAGCGGGGCCAGCAGCATCTCGACCGTCTTGCGGAACAGTCCTCTTATCGGCGCAGAGTAGACGGGCTGAAGATGTGCACCTGCACGACCGTCGGCAGAATGGGTCGGTGTGGGGATCGTTGATGTGTGATCGATAGGATCGTCGGGCGAGAGGGGGGATGCCTGGAGAGTCGTCTTGTTTGGCCACAGCCGCACCAGGGCCCACAGCATAGTGCTGCATGAGTAGGGGGTCGACTGACTCAGCGTCGCCGTCATGACGGAAGCCGCCTCCTCGAGCACCGCCCTCAGTCGCCTGCCTCTTCTGGGCGGCTCATCTCCCGAGGACCATCCCTGAGAGATTTCAATCGTCACCGAGCCAGGGTCACGCACTCGTGTCAGGGTCCACAGAAGCCGCGCCAGCTCAATCGGCCGGAAGTTGTGCAGCTGGCCCGCCGCATGCACCAGAACAACGTCATACAGGCGCGCGCAAGCCTCTCTCAGCTGCCTCACAGCCGCGTGGTTCCCCCTTCTCGGCTGATGATAGCGATGCAGCAGCGTGGCGGCCGCCCAGGCAGCACTGACCAGCTCTTCAGGGGTCCATCGCACCACTCGGGAAGCAGCCGCATGACCGTCGTTGGCTACCGCCGAGCGAGAGTGATGATAATTCACGAGAGCTTCCACTAGCTGCAGGACCAACGAAAGGTCGGGAAGGGGCCGATCAGACGAGTGCGGCGCTGCCTCGTATGGACTCATCTGTGTGGAGTCTTCGATGCTGCTGCTGCATCCGTCGTCGTGCGCCAGGTGCCACAAGGCCGTGATGCAGCACGTGGGGTCGAGAGCGAGAGGCGCCTTGTCATCGTCCCAGGCTGCCGGTGTGCTGCGATAGGTCGAGGAAGGGAGAAGAGTTGGGTGGGCGGTGAGCATGTCGCGCAAGAGGGACTGCAGCGGCCGCATGCCATCACCTGCTGCCTTGACTATGGCATTCTCGGTCCGTATCGAACTGAGATGTGGAACAACACAGAGGGAGGGAGGGACAAATAACGCGGAGATAAGCTGTAGTGATTGTTTCTAACAGGCTCACCGAAGTGTCCGATAAACGCCTGGTCGCATCAGTGCCCGAAGCGATGCCCGTCGAGGACCCCTCGTCGCTTTGTATAGCACACGGCGCATTTCGCGACCATCCGCTGTATGCCTTTTCCCAGCAACAGGGGGAGCCGAAGGCGACTGCTTCGTGGCCATAGATACACCTCGCCTCCTCTGGTCCATCTCCTGGCAACCTCTCTCTGAGTCAGCCATGCCGCACCCATCCCTGGCTAAACCGCTGTGCGCCACCCCGTTTCGCCGCATGCTGCAGCGAGTTGGCAGAGGTCGGAGAAGTGGAACAAAGCCGCAGGGACGCCGTTTGGATGATTGATGACGTGCAGCGGCAGCCAGATCTCCGTCGGGTCCCTTCAAGGCGAGATGGATCAGGACGAGAAGCTGCGACCACAGGAGGCGGTAGATGAGTCCATTTGGGTGCATAATTCACTCATCACACGCTGGCGGTGCAGATCTGTCCCACGGCGTCCTTCTCCACTCTCCACATCCGCGAGCTTAGCCCACCACCGATCTCTCTGTGAGCATTCCCACAACGAAAGGGCGGGCGCATCCCCTCCGGAAACCGCAGCGCCATCCAATGCCAATCTTCTGGCCCCTGAGCTTGTTGAGTGTGTTTGTTGGCGAGGCGGCATTCCTCAAGACGCCACTGGTGATGAGTGCGCAGCCGAGAAAGGTGTTTGTGACGGGCGCAGGCGGTGAGTGTTCAGCTACGCACATTCATTTCCTGTCCATGCATCCTCCATCCATCCACGGTTGTGCTGTGTCTGTCTGCAGGCAAGACGGGTGGCTACGTCTTCAGGAAGCTTCTCAAGAGGGATGGCTTCACCCCCGTCGGCCTGGTGCGCTCGCAAGACGCCGCTGAGGCGCTCAAACAAGATGGTAGTAAGCACACACCCACACTTGCAGCGGCGCGTGTGTGTGTGTGATAGTGATAGCTACTCTGTGTGGTGTCTGGCTCCTGCGTGCAGGTGCGTCAGACGAGAACTTGGCAATGGGCGACATTATGGACAAGTCAGCCCTGGAGCAAGGCATGCAGGGGTGCACCGCACTCATCATCTGCACATCAGCCAAACCAGCGGTGCGGAGCTGACGACCGAATCGAATCATCCATGTCATGCCATTAAGCATCTCTGGTGGAGAACAACCGTGTTTGCTGTTTGTCTGCTCTGGTTCCTGCCTGCCTGCAGCCGTCTGGCGAGACCGACGAGGCGACTGGTAGGCCCATCTTCACGTTCCCCCGAGGCGACCCTGTGGATGTCGATTGGCATGGGCAGAAGAACCAGATTGACGCGGCCAAGGCTGCAGGCGTCCAACACGTGATCATCTGCGGATCCATGGTATGCACTGCATGTGTCGCGAATGGATGGACACACACGAAGCGAAGCGACCCATACAGAGATCTGTGCTATGTGCGTTTGTCTTGTGTGTGCACTGCAGGGCGGCACCAATCCCAGCCACCCGCTGAATAACCTGGGCAAGAAGGCTGACGGCAGCGGTGGCAACATCCTCCAGTGGAAGAGGAAGGCCGAGAAATACGCAATCGACAGCGGCCTCATCTACACCATCGTGCACCCCGGCGGGCTCATCGACGAGGCCGGCGGCAAGCGCGAGATCATCATGGACATCGACGACGCGCTTCTCAAGCTCGAGTCGAGGACCATCCCAAGAGAGGACGTTGCCGAGGTGAGCCGGCCAGGCAGCCAGGACAGAAGAGATCTGATAGATCCCTCACTCACCCACCATACGTCTGTCTGTCTGTCTGTCTGTCTGTTTCTCGTGTGTGATGTGTGTGTGCAGGTCCTGGTGCAGAGTCTTGTGTGTGAGAGCGCCAAGAACCGTTCCGTGGACATCGTGACCAAGCCTGAGGGCGAGGGGGCGGTGACCACAGACTTCGAGGCCCTGTTCAAGTCACTAAGTGGCAACTGCGACTACACTCTTGGCGTCATACCGGAGGAGGCCGTGTCTAGATAGACAGCTAGACAGACAGACAGATCCACAGGTCGGTCAGTGTATTCGAGACAGGCCGTCTTGTCTTTTCGCGAGGCAGTTTTTGTGTCCAATGAATGCATGTGGTTTGTGAGTGAATCTTACACCTGATAAATTACATACACCTTCATGTGCTCCCGACCGAGGATTGTGCGTGCGTCGGCTCTTGTGATTTTTTCCTCGAGTAGCTAGCTAGTGGACCTGGCGAGGGTTGTGATCGAATGCTGTGAATGCCTGGTTTGAGCGTGGCACGCCCCATGATCACCGATGGCCTAGCTCGCACCCAAATTTACCGAAGTACGAGAAACAAGGTCCTCCCCACTGGCGATATGGCGACTGCCCAGGAGGCCGATGACAAGTGTACTGTGGACATCCCGTCGGTGCCTGTCACAGAATGTCTGCCTTCGATGGCCCATGCCTCGTCAGCAACCACCTGGTCTCAGCCGTCCGTGTGGCTTGCGGACATTGTGTGGCCAGCCATCAGACCCCTCCAGAGCAAGCGACTCTCCCTCCCCTCCACCAATCGCAGGAAGACACAAAACATCCTCAACGTCGCCTGTGCCCTCGATGGTTCGCCAGTACACTCACTCACTCACCTCTCTCTTGATTGATGATTGCAAGGAGAAGCAAACGGTCTGTGTGTTGTGTGTTGTGTGTTGTGTGTTGTGTGTTGTGTGTGTGCTCTTTCTTGCAGGGGCCGATATGCAACTGCTGCCCAGCACGTTTCGTGCCCTTGAAAGAGAGCTGCATCTCGGCCCAAAGGTAAGTATCCATCACTCAAAGGTCAATGGCCTTGCTGCGAATGAAAACGACAAAGGTTCTATCTTCCGTCTATCACTACTTTGGTGCTTTCACCTGATGTGCTCGTTTCGACAGGACCTCGGGCAGCTGTCGCTCTGTCAAAGTCTGTTCCAGTCGCTGTCGGCGCCTGTGTGGGGCTTCCTTGCTGACAGATACAGCAGGCAGACCGTCCTGGTAGGCTCGCCTTGCCGTATGCGTGACGTGTGTCCACTGGTGGGTGACATCTGCAGGCGTATGGGTGCATCTTGTGGGGTGTTTTCACCATCGTCTTAGCGGCGTCAACACGATTCTGGGAGGTGAGGGAGCGATGAGGTGGTGGTGGTGCTGGCAGCATTGACGACTGTGCGTTTCGTCGACATCTGCTCAGATGATGTCTCTGCGAGCCCTGAATGGCATGGCGCTCGCAAGTACCGACACGCACAGGCGTCACTCCCACATTATCCCATCCCACGCATCACAGGGCAATCATGTCATGCTGCCGCTTTGGTTTGTGTGCACTGCACTGCAGGCGTTGGGCCTCTATCCCAGTCGATGATAGCTGACCTCTTCAGTGTGGACGAGCGTGGACGGGCCTTTGGGTGGGTGCAGGCCTCGCAGAACACAGGGGCCATTCTGGGAGGGGTGGCAACCACCACAATATCACAGATGATCATCCTCGGTAGGCGGTGGGTCACGCCACACGCACACCAACCGCAGAGAGGGGCTGTCGCGGGGGGAGCATGCCATCATCTTTTCGGCTGCCTGTGTGGTGTGTGTGTGTGTATCTGATGGATGGGTGGATGCGCTGCGCTTAGGCATGTCTGGTTGGAGGGTGGGTTTCATTGTTGTTGGCCTCCTGTCCATTGCGCTTGGCGTCATCATCTCCTTGACCAGCATGAGCATCCCACGACATGGCAGCGCAGCAGCCGACGAGCAGGTGTGTACACAGAGACAGACACAAGACGGACCGGCGCACAGCGCACTGGCCTTCCTCTTCCCTCCCGCCCTTATCGTGGCTGTTCGTTCAGAGCGGGACTGGACGTCGGTCGGCGGTGGTTCGCGGGATGGCTCGGGAGCTTAGGAAGATCCGAAATATGGCCAGGAAGCCATCCTTCTGGGGCGTGGTGCTGCAAGGAGTGTTCGGCAATGTGCCCTGGAATGCGATGGCCTTCTTCACCCTGTGGTGGGCTGACGTCGTAGACCGATTCTAAGGACAGGACATGTGTCTGTATCGCCGTGGATATGTGGTGGTGTGTGTGTGTGTGTGTGCAGGTACCAGGTGAGATGGATGGGTGGATGGCACACCATACAAGCTGCATACTTCGTTCGGTCGTTCTGTCTGTCTGTCTGTCTGTGTGTGTCATGCAGTATGTGGGCCTACAGGATTATCAAGCTGCGCTCGCATGGGCCGCCAAGCAGGCCGGTGCCGGAGTTGGTGGGCTGATTGGCGGGAAGATCGGCGACTCGCTGCACTCGTGGAACGGCAATCACGGGCGGCCTCTCACGGCGCAGATCTCGGTCCTGCTCGGAATGCCCATGACGGCTATAGTGCTGCAGGTCATCCCCCGGTCACCCGACTGGTACATCGCCTTCCTTGCCTGCATGTTTCTATTGGGCATGGTGGCATCGTGGGCGTCGGTGGCGACCAACCGCCCCATCCTGTCGGACATCGTCGAGCCTGCCGACCGTGCGACCATCTTTGCGTGGCTGCTGGCCATCGAGGGGGCTTCTGGAAGCCTTTTCGGGGCACCATCAGGTAGAAGAGCGAGGTAGAAGCATCCTCTGTCTTACCGATGTGGAATTGACTGATCATTTGTGTACATATTCAACGTCATTGACTCGTACATTCAGTCGCCTTCATGGCAGAGGTGGGGCAAGGACGATGAGGCCCACTAGTGGCACCAGGCCCACTGCGTGTGTGGTGTGTTGCCGCTTGACATACATGTCAGATGTTCTTCGGCTACGAGATCAGCGACTTGGCGGTCAAGGACATGACAGAGGAGACGCGCCTGCACAATGTCAACGCCTTAGCGAACTCATTGACGGTCGCCATGGTGAGTGCGCACGTGTCTCGTCGGCCCCACATAATCTGTGTCTGTGTGTCAATTAATGGTGTGTCAGCTGTTGCCCTGGGCGGTCTGCTTCCTGATCTACGGGTCGCTCCACTTCACATACCGACACGACCGCCTGAGCCCCAACCAACAGAGCGGCTTCCCGCAGGTCACTAATAAGCAAGCAAGCAAGCCCGCCTGCATCGCGTACTGTATCCTGCTGCTGCGGCTGCGGCTGTGCGTGTGTGCGTGTGTGTGTGTATGTGTGTATGTGTGTCGTCAGGGCGGTCTGTTCAAGGAGAAACAGACGCCGATGAACCGCGGTCCTGACGACGACGAAGAGGACGGGCCGTCCCCGGTGTCCCGCCACGGCATCGTCGAAATCGCGTCGTTTCGGTCCGGGATTGCAGAGGGCGGCTCGGATGACGGTGACGCGTTGCGCGAGCGAGACAGGGGCGTGGCTGAGGGGGCATAGGATGCATAGCACGCATGTCTCTATGGATGCAGACCATTCATGGGGGGGCGATGCGGCTGGGGGGCCTGTGTGTGTGTGTTAGGGCAACAAACAGGTGCCGGCCGGTGTGGCGGTGTGGCGTGTGGGCTGGCCGACTGACTGACTGAGGAATTCTTCTTATTCGTTTTTTCGCAATCTGCGAATCTGCAAGGTTGAGTGAGTGGTCGGGTTGGGTGGGTGCCGCTACACACACACACATATGTATGCTGTTGTCAGTTTGTAAGAGGAGAGAGAGAGAGAGAGAGAGAGAGAGAGAGACGCTGAAACAACGCGTTTTTCATCACGTGGGTTCAACCCAACAATTTTTGCGTACGTCGCGTGTGTGGTTTTTGTGGTGGACGTGTAGATGTATGTATGTGCGTGTGTCACTCACGGTCAACAGGCAGTGAGCGAGCGGACTAGGTGGATTTCGATCACATGAACCCCATTCGATGATGGAATGGATGCACTTCCTGAGGTGACAGTAGTGTGTGTCTCATCTCTCGGCCATCAGCCAAGCCCTTCGCGTGGGTATCTGTCTCGTTCCGGATGTGATGTGTGACAACACACAAACCATCCATCCATCCATCCATCGCATAGACATCGCTCAGCCAGCCAGCCAGCCAGCCAGCAAACCGGGGGACACACACACCACACACACACACACACAGAGAGAGAGAGAGACACACACAGAGAGAGAGAGAGAGAGAGCGCTAGGGGTGTAGGCAAATCCGCCAACATCTACCCGCCACTGGCCAGCGGCCATCTATCAGTGCTTTTCAGCGGCACACCACCAGACGGGCAGCAGAACAGAACAGAACACACAGACGGACAGGAGGCGGCCAGGCGCCCAGACAGCCAGCCTTCCTCACCATTCATTCATTTAGAGCTCGTTCGCCCGGTGCCAGCTGGTACGGTACGGGCCGGGCCATCCCATCGACATGGCAGAGGGAGAGGACCTTACATATGCCCGTGACTGGGGGTGCTTTCCTCGCTCTCCTTTGTTTTCTTCTTGTCGGTCCGTCATCAGTCGGCACACATCATGATGTGTGTGTGTGTATTTCAAGCTGCGTGCGGCCACTTCTGGTTTGAGTTGTCGGTCGGTCGGTCCGGGCGCCCCCCTCCATATACTCTTACACACAATCAATGGGTCCTGCAGGGAGGCGCTGGCAGACGATCCACTGCATGGCCGATAGCTGGGGCGGACTGTCTGGCCGTCTCGCTGACGTGATGTGTGTCGGCAAACAGACCAACCGATATTTCAGTCAACAACAATGTCTACGCGCAACGACAGAAGGTCCCCAACCAACCCAGCAGCGAGCTAAGCCGGTAACGGCTCGGTACACTGTAGGGCGGATTGGCGTCTGAGCAGGCAGAGCCGATGAAACTCTTGGTGCTGTTGGTGGTGTTGCCCGCACTGTGCTTGGGAGTCGAGGGGGGTGTCCTCGATGAGTCGTGCAAGCTATTCAACCAATTGGGAGGTGAGTCACGATCACGAGGACGTGGTACTGAATCATCGCCTTTTGCTTGCCCTTGTGGTCACAGATACCTTCACGAACATCTGCGACCCAGATGACCCGGCCACCTTGGGAGTACGAGACGTTTGCGAGGTCAGTATGAGTGCGTCCACAGGTCTGCGTCAGGCCGCTTGTATGTCTGTCTGCTGTGTGCGCCTGCAGGTGAACTTGTGTGCCGCCTTGAATGCGGTAACACCCGGCGTAGACGTTGCACTCGTCGAGGAGGCAATTGACTTCTTCGGGAAGGCATGCGAGTGCGCTGCCAACCTCCTCGACACCGATGGGAACGACTTTGTCGAGCAAATAAGGAGCATGACAGAGACCATTGCGGGAGACGTGGCAGATGAGGGCCCGGTGGTTGCGATGGTCAATGCATTCTGTGGAGGGGTTGGCGAAATCCTCGTCCCCAAACTGCTCGAGGACTGCAAGGACCTCGTCACTTATCAGGATAGCAGGAAGTGTTCTGTTCACGAGTGAGCGGATGATTGCTGTTGGCTGTGGACGTGTGTATGGAGTGTTGTTTATGTACGTTTGCTGTGCAGAGCCATGTACCCAGGGAAACGGAATAAGAAGTCACTGTATTATGAACTGGCTGAGATCGCCATGATCAGGAGTCCTGATTCGCCGCCTGAGAAGTAAGCTGCTGCTGCCGCTGCTGTGTCTCTGTGTGTGTGTGTGTGTGTGTTTGTATGTGTTTGGGTGTGTTTCTGTGTATGTGTAGTGGCTTTAAGACATGGACGGAGCTCGGATGTCACCTCATAGGCTGCGGAGTCTCAGGGGCAAGCTCATGTGAAAGCATCGCGAGATTCTTCATCGATCCCGACACAGGGCTGATCACTGGTGCAGCCGACAACCTTATTGACGCGGCCAAAGGCTACCTGAACGAAGTGCTGAACCCCTCCAAGACACTGGATAGCGCAAAAGTGCTCGAAGTGAACCTTCCCAATGTACTGAAAGCGGCCGAAGCTTGTCAGCAGGACATTTCCACCGACATTCCTGATCTTAATGCACTTGTCGATGACCTAAGCATCCTGAATAAGGAAGATGTTAAGGAGGCGCTGATGTTTCTATTCGACGCGGGCAGCGAGTCGCTGTACAAAGAAGCTCTGGTATGCACGAAAATCCGCTTTCGCTACGTGTCTTGACTGGACGGCTGTTTGTGTCATTTGCAGATAGTGGTGGAAGCCATAGACAAGATCATCAAGGCAGTTGAGGAGGGCAATGCCATGCTGGATGGAATCACAGCCTCAAATCCTGCCGAGAGACTTAGTAAGACAAACACTTTGATCACCCACAATTCCACCAGGTCACTCCTTCTCGTCCTCTCACACAGAAATATTCATCGAGCTGCTAGAAGAGAAAGCTGAAGCATTGCTTCAGGAAGGCGGACCGCCAATGACTCCCAAGGGAATTATTGGCTGGCTTTTCGGCGATTTTCTTGATACCCTTCGAGAACATCAAGGACGCCGCGGGAACTCTGAAAAGCTGGTCCCAAGGTGTCGGAGAGCTGCCCCAGCACATCAACACAGTCCATGAGCTCTTCAAGACAATCTCAACAATCGAGGTCAAACAAGAAGTGGAGCTTGGCGCTTTGCTGGAGAGCATCAGCAATCATCCGGCGACGACAGATGTATGCACCGACTTCCACAAGGCGGTTGCCGATCTCCAGACAGCGGTTGAGAAGCTTAAGAAGCTTGAAGAGGACATTGAAATGAGCATTAAAGACGCAATTCAGAGAGCAGTAAGAGTGATGACAATGCTTCCTCTATGGACGAACCAGTGTGTGTGTGTGTGTGTGTGTGCTGCTGTATCCCTCTGCAGCTTGACATTTCTTCATTCATTAGCGACCTAAACATCCTGGAAGTTGATGTGGTATAGCACACCCTCCCACACCCACCAAAGCAACGATGCATATAGCAACCCCTGTATGGCTGGCTGCTGGAATGGTTGTGATTGGACCGCAGGTGGTCGGCGCAGCGTCCTTCAGCAGTCAAGTAGCCATCGACGTCAAACTTCCCGAAATCAAAAAAGAAGACCACAAAATAGACCCCGACGACATCCTTGACGGATTCTGCGTAAGAGGCCCACTTCTCGCATTTTCGTGATCTCACTTGGTCCCCGTTCATTATAACCGTTTCAGGCTAATGTGGCCAACCCCAGAGAGTTTCTGTGCAAGTAAGGACCAAAGGTTCGGCACTCGTGATTATGCGCGTTCAATCGTGGCACGTGGCTTGCAGGAGATGGGTGGACATCGAGATCTGGGGTCGTGATCCTTGCGACCTGATTCCCTCCGGAAAGATCGAACTCGACGATCTGCCGACGCTTACCGTCGGGCCATTCTCACCGACGATTCCTCTGCCAAACGGACAGGTCGTTTATCTACGTTTCGACATTCCTTCCAGCGGAGATCGTCCACACCCCCCAAGTCAGACCGAAGAACAGGAATATGCGTGTGGGGTGACCTTTTATCTCTCTATGCCTCTCTCTCTCTTTGTGTCTCTCTCTCTCTCTCTTTCTCTCTCTCTCTCTCTCTCTTTCTCTCTCTCTCTCTCTCTGTGTGTGTGTGTGTGTGTGTGTGTTTATGATCAGATGAGGAGTGTTCGTTGCAACCGCCTGAAGCTGCAGACGTGGCAGACACGGATCCACCAGTGCTGGGACCTGTCCATCCAGAGAAGGACGAGACTGTGACATTGAGCTCCTGCAATCCCGACCTCACCACAGAGGACCTCGCCTTGCTCACGGCCAACGACGTCGCCGCGCTCATTGCCGGTGAGCCTCTGCCAGACTTTTCCGACCCGGGGAAGCTCGGGGGCCGCGGCTGCGTCGTGGTGTTCCAATTCAACGAGCCGGTGCAGATCGGCAAGGGCAAGACCGTGAAGTTCACTCCCACATTCACCCCGGCGTCTCCTTGCGAGGTAGGCACATACGCGATGGTCAGCTGCCTATGGCTTAGTGCATATTCATGACTTCCGCCTTGCAGGAGCCCAGGAGCCCCCAAGAATTCGAAGTGCGTCTGGAAGCAATCGCCGTGTCAAAGGACGACTGGATTGTTCTGGGGCTTCCTATCGATCGTCTGGAGGGAGACCGGTTCAGATGGGATATCGGCTTTGCTCAGTCCCCGCCACACGGAGCAATCATGGACCGATCCACCAACACCTTCACAACCCCCGGAAAGGGAGGCTTGTTCACTGACCTCACGGATGAGTGGTGGTTTCACACAGAGGACGAGACCCCGCCCGTTGTGACCAGCTATTCTCCTCCTCCCTTCGCGGATCGCCTCATCGGCACCGACGTCGTGTGGCAGGTATACACTGTACACTGTACACTGTACATGCGTGTGGAACACGCACCTGTACTGTGTACTTGTGGTAGGTTAAGTACAACGAGCCGGTGGACGTCAGCCAGTCGACTCTGGGGGACGACGGGCAGCCACTCGCAACGGTAAGGACGGAGGAAGGGAGAGATCCGCATCAAGCTGTCTGTCTCGATGCGAATACCGCAAGACGCCAGCGCACTGTGTTGTGGGGTGATGCTGTCCATACAGGATCTTTGGAATGTGGATCAGAGAGAACACGTGCGAAATCAAGGTGAGTGATCGTGCGCCTGCTGTCGTCGACCACCCACACACGTGTGTATGTCGATTGATCGACTGTTCCAACAGCCGGAGGGCGCTGATCAGGCCGAGCAAACCGTGTCACTTGAGCCCATCTTGTTCACCAAGCACGATGCCTGCACTGTTCAGCTCAGAGGAGCCGACTTGAGCACATTCTGGCCCAGCGTAAATATCTGCTTGCAGCGACGACAGAATAGACACGTAGTTGGCACTGACTGGCTGTGTTTCCTTCCTGCAGTATCCCCAGGAGGACGGTTATTCGTATTCGCTGCACCTCAGTGGGTCATTCGTGAGCGATACGGCGGGCAACCCCTCGACGGACACGTTTCAAAACACGATCATCCTGGCGGGTGAGTGATTATTGACTCTTGCCCACATTCAACTCATTGCACATTGAACTCATCCGGACTGCCTCTCTGTGTCCTGTCACAGACACGGTGGCTCCCAAGGCCGTTGTGGAGGATTTCGTGCCCGCCCAAGATCAGCTGAGCGTGCCGCTCGATTCCAACGTGCAATTGGTGTTCGATGAGGTCATTCGAATCGGGCTCGCGGGGAAGGTCACCCTCACACCAGGCAAGCTTGGATGACACAGCAAAGGACAATGAAACGATGTGACACACCATCTCTTGGCGACATCCACGACCTTTTTCCCTGCGTCTCTTGCAGAATGGGTTCGCGAGGACGCCTGTGAGGTTATGCCCGTGATTGACGCCCCTATTGTTATCGACGCGACAAGCAGTGAGCTCAGCATCTCGGCGTGCACTCTCACAATCGACCCAAGTGTCCTCTTCGACGACGACGGCATCCGCTACCACGTCACTGTGGACGCGAGCGTGATTGAGGACAACGGACAAGATGCCCCTCCTGCTCTGGATGGCGACGGCAACACCATCTAGAATGACTTTCCCGGCATCCCACCTGGCCCGCCCGAGTCATACTCGTTTGTGGTCGTCGATGTCGTGAAACCAAAGTGAGTGGAGACTCACAGGGGCATCTCACGGCACACGCTTTGTGCAAGCAACACGTGTTCGCTGCATACTTACCCCTCATTTACTGCCGTACTGTAGGGCGAGGCCGGAGCTCTTCGTTCCGTCTCAAGATGAGTTGCGTGTTGCGCTAGATGCTGACGTGCACTTGGTGTTCGACGAGATCGTTCGGCTGGGGCCCGCGGGGAAGATCATCCTCACACCAGGCAAGGACGCGCAGGACAAAAGGAAGCAATAGCATGTCTCTGGCTCCACGTCATCGCTTCAGAGTGGCTGCGCGAGGACTCCTGTGAGGTCCTGCCTCCGATCAATCCAGCCATCATCATTGACGCGACAAGCAGTGAGCTCACCGCGGCAGCCTGCACCCTCGTAATTGACCCAAGTGTCCTCTTCGACAACGATGGCATGCGCTACCACGTCACTGTGGACGCGGGCGTGGTCCAGGACAACGGGCAGCTGGCCCCCCCTCCGCTTGATGCTGGTGGCTTGCCCATCTACAACCCCTTCGTCGGCATCCCACCGGGCCCACCAGAGAAGTACTCGTTCGTTGTCGTGGACCTCGAGCCGCCGAAGTAAGAGATCATTCATACAGGGAGGCAATTCGTGAGGCACTCCGCATCTTATGTGTCTTGTGTACATGCATGTGTGGCTGATGTGCATACTGAAGGATTGGACACTTCTCGCCCATCCAGAGCGCCATTCGTGTGGATCCTGATGGCAAAGTATCTCTTTTCTTCGATGAGGTCATCACAAGGGGCGAAGGGGCGCTGCAGCTTCTCACAGACGCCGTGCTTGACGGCCTCACCGACGAGGGGCACATCACCATCGACATGGCATCATCGACCCTGTTCGTGGACAAGTGCGAGGTCTCCATGTCTGGCCTCGCTCTACTGAATGGTCGGGTCTACACGGTGTTGCTGAACAAAGGGGCCGTGGTGGACAACGGGCAGCTGGCCCCCGGGCCCATCGACGATCCCAATGACAACCTTGGGCTGGTGAAGCCATCACCTGCAGAGCATGGCAAGAACGAGGTACCAATGCCTCTACCTCTAATGTCGTGCTGCACACTGCCATCCGTGAGCATGTGTTGATTGACGTGTAGGCTGAGGTGTATCAATTTGCCGTCTCCGGGTGCGTCAAGTCGCCCCTCGACACCCTCCTGATGTTGTCGCCCGACAAAGGCAAAAGCACCTCGGTTCCCGTCACGGGAGGCATCCCCAATGAGCTCAACACAAAGGTAGATGACAGCTCGTGCAGAGACGACCCCACAGCCAATGTGTCTTTGCTGTTGCTGCTGCAGTGCATTTCGCCCATGGCTTTCCACTCTCTGTCAGAAGAGCTCGAGCTGCACGCCCTCGCCAAGCCCGAGTATCCGTCTCCCGACTGGCTTGCACAGCGTGACGCCGCCAACGCCGAGTCGCAACTGCGACGTCTTGGAAAGGACAGTCTGCGCCGCTATGCTGGTTTCGACGACAGCGAAGACATGTGTGAGCGGCTCTCGCCCATCGGCCTCATCACGACGCTGGCATCAATCGACAACCCAACCGAACACGTAAGAACCACGGGCCACGCATATGTATGTGTATACGCCTCTGGTGTGTCGTCTGTGTGGCCGTCAGGCGGCAGCGCTCCTCTTCTTGACGCAGCTGGCTGCAGATCGGTACCAGCAGTCCAAGAAGGAGGAGGCCGTCTATGCGCCTGAGTTCGAGGGCGCGATTGAGCAAGCCTTGAAGGCATTCCCCCAGGGTGGCCTCGCGTCAATCATCGACGCATTCAAGGATCTGCTGCCGAATGGCGGGCCGCTTTCATGGCTGACCGGAGACAAGGCCAAGACAGAGTCATGCTGGCTCGGCCTTCGCCAGCCCTCACGATCCCCTCTGGCAGCTCACCATATGCCGGAGGTCGTCGACTGGCGGTGGGTTGACTCGACTGCGTTCTCTTATGATCGATTCGAAGAGGACAGGAAGAAGCTGCGGGACGCATTGCCCTTCTGGCCCCTCAAGGCCATTGACAGCTTCCTGGAGTCGCGCAAGCAGTGTGCCACGGTACGCTGAGCAAATAGCCAAGTACACACGCCAAGAGAGAGACGTCCCTCTCGCCGTTGCGTGTTCAGGCTCGGCCCAGCGGCAATTGGACAAGCGCGGAGTGCGACGCGAAGCTGCCGTGTGCTCTCTGCAGCACGATGCTGCAGCAGCCGAACCTTTGCGGTTCGATGTTCGTCCGCAACTTCACGGGAGACTCGACGACCAACCTTAATGGTAAGGGGACACACCGACTTACCATGAGGGGCACAGTCTGCGATTGGTCGCTCTTGTCTGACGCAGGTGAGTGGTCGTGGTCCGGCCTCTTCCTTACGGACATTGACGATGCGACAACCATCGCCAAGGACACGCGGGCTGACCTGCATCAGACATTCGGAGGGGCCATCTTCCAGCGGCAAACGGCCGCAAACGAGGAGCGATATCTGTACTTCTCCACCAGGGAAGACGCCTGGGTCATCACCGACGACATCAAGTCGAGCGGACACCCCCTTCTCAAGGGCTTCCTCAAGAGCTACAAGGGGCCTTCCCCCATCGCGTGGTATGACGTCGCGACCGAGACTTTCCTTGAGGAGGGCGCCTCGTCCGTACTTTGTGACAAGAGCTGCTTCAAGGCCGGCCAGGAGATCGCCGCTCCGAGCATCGCAATTATTGAGAAAGACGACATGCCCCAGGGTACGCCCTCAGCAAAGGCGCTTCCGTACAATCTTTGCGTATATCATTACATGGCTGCAGGTGAGAGGACGGCGGTTGGGTGCATGAAGGCGTGTGAGGTCAACAGCGAATGCCGCCACTTCACATGGACCGGGCAGCAATGCATGCTCAAGGTCAATCGGTGGCACGTCGATGTCTGCGCACTGCATGTCGTGGCACTGGCTTGCGCTGTGTGTGGTCATCAGACCGAGGCTGAGCCATACCGCCTCCGCGGCTTCCCCTTCGTATCCGGCTCCCAAAAGTGCCCTGGTACATGCAAGGGGGAGACCATTCGAGAGCTCGAGCATGCCCTGCGCTCTCTGTCTGACCACTTGTCCTCTACATGCAGACACGCCCTGTTGGTCTGCGGAGCAGTCGTGTGCATCGCCTGAGCCGCAGTGCCCCTTCAAGAAGCGCAAGTCGCCCAAGGAGACGTGCTGTGTGAGCTGCCGGGAGGAGGTGCCCCTCTGCGAGCAGCCCGTCGGCGAGTCGCTGACCCAGTGTGATGTCGGGTACGAGCGCTGGGGCTTCGCCGACGACGAGTGCAGGACCTTCGATTATGGTGGATGCGGCGGCAACGACAACAACTTCGGCGACTGGAAGGAATGCGCTGCGGCGGTCAAACGGGAGGGCTGCTGATGCGCAAGAGGAAGAGAGAGGGACGACTGACTGACTGACTGACTGACGGCGATGGTACGTACTGTACTTGTTCCTGTACCTGTCTACTATATATACGGATGTGGGGCTGTCCTAACAATTCCATGCATCCCGAGGGCACTGATGATGATGTGTCCGTGTCAGCTTGTGCGTTTCACACTTCCGGGTGGCCAACACCGCCTTAGTTTCTAGCCAGGATAGCGAGGGGACATGCACTGCCCTAAAGGAGACGAGACAAGTAGGCAGGCCTGTGAGAGTCAGAGGAGTGAGTCAATTTTTGCGACGGACTAATGGAGTCAGTTTTTCGATCCGCCACTTGTATTTGTTCGGAGTTGGGTGCACGACGCCGTGCGTGTGTGCGTTGTTATTTGTGCTCGTCGTCTGAACACCAAGAGTAGGGCTGTCTCTTTCTATCTACAATTAATCGCTGTGGGCTCGAGGATGTGCTTTGTGATTTTATGCATGTTGGTTCCGACGCAAGCGTTCGGGAGCCGTATTTTGCGGGAGTGCGTTGCAGGTCGGCTTTCTGTTCGTCATTCACTGGCGGAGACAGACGAAACAAGTAGGCAGACCTGGACGTGAGTAGTGAGGTGATGGTCAGTCACTTTTTGCTGCACTGTCCTAACGTGGTCTGTATTTGTGGAGACGGGTGTGGCGCATAAGTGGTGCATAGGACGGAGGGACCATCCCATCACGGGAACCAAAAGCCCGTGTGTCTTGCGTACGTGATTGGGTTTACCGCGTCTGAGGTATGTGTGTGTGTAGCGCGGCGCAGAGTCCCCCCAGCATTGCCTTCATTCATTCACACGCGCATTACAAATATGTCACTCACGTGGCCTCTGTCTATCTACCCCATCCTCCCTCCATCAGACCATCAGACCCCTGCCGTCTGCACAGACAAACATCGGTAGCTAGCGTCACACCAGGGAGCCCATCAAGAGACAGACAGACAAACGACTCCCGCCCACCGCCCGAGCGTTTCGGTCGGTCGGGCTTTGCACACCCAAGACACACACACACACGCGCAGGCAGGCAGGCAGGCAGGCAGGCAGGAGAAACACCTTTGGTTGCACCACACACGACACACACGCGCACACACACACAGGTGTGCAAACCACGTAAGTACCTCACTAACTCGCGCACGCACTCAGCCCACACAGCCGAGGACACCATCGACCACACACACACACACGCGCCCGAGGAGAAACGTTGAATGGAACGAAGTGGCATACTGTGTGTGTGTGGATCCACCGAGAGAGGGAGTGAGAGAGAGAGAGACCGTTGGCGGCGTGTCAATAGAGGAACAGTCTTCTGAGCAGGTTGGAGCACTGCCGCGGCGGCGATGCCCCGACGCAGCACACACACGGGGTGGAAAACACACCGTACGCCAGCCGAAACGTACGCTGCACACACACACACACACACACACAGACGACGCCATGGTCACTCACAGGCGTCAGGCCTGCGTCCATCCGCTCACACCGCACTCACTCACTGACCTGTATCTCAGAAATGTTGAATGCGGTTCTGCCGACGTTGTTTGTGCGGTCCATGGGGTCCTCGACGCACAGCCGCGAGCCGTCCAGGGGCCCATTGAACGGCACCAGGGAGAACAAGGCGGGCGGCCGCTCGTGGTGCTGGCCCTGCTGCTGCTGCTGCTGCTCGTGGGGCGGCCGCACACTGATGCCCAGCAAACTGACGGGAGGGACACACACACACACATGCATGCAGATACACATGGATGGATGGATGCATGGATGGATGGATGGAGGGTCTTCTGTACTTGTAGTCGAAGAAAGTGACCGGAACGATTTGGCCGAGGCCGTTGATATGCTTGGGCACCAGCAGATGCGCACCGGACGGCACCGCCACACCGCCGTAGAAGGCACACAGACTGCACAGCTGCTGGCCTGCACAGCACACACATAGCAAAGGTGTGGTCTGGTGTGCAAATGGTTGGTATGGCTGGTTCAAGTGCAGTGCAGCAGTCAGCAGTCAGGTGGCCCTTAGTGAGTTACTGACTTACCGACGTCTGTGTGGGCGTTGTTGTAGAGCTGGGGTGTCTGCAGGAATGCGATTGCCATGAGAGTGAGGGCGTATGACGACAGGCCGCCCTCGAACGGCTTGTTCATCCCCCGTTGGCTCAGCAGGTGCTTCAGCACCAACACCAGCGGCCGCAGAGTCGGCAGCCCCTCGCAATATCGCTGACAGACACAGACAGACAGACAGACACACAGAGAGAGAGAGATGAATTGCGTGATTCCTCAGCTCAAGTCAGCTGACCTGGACGAGTTTGGCCGTCTGTATGCCGTGGTGCTTTCCCGTCACCACCGATATGTCGATCTGCGTAGTGTGGCCCTCGACGCTCGTGGTGGTCCTCACCGTCAGCAGTGGGGTCTTGGCTGGGATGAACTGCACCCCACTGATCCACTCATGCAGCTCGGGATGGTCCCGCTCGTTGTGAGCCGAGCGCGGCTGAACACACACACCACACACACACACACATCCATCCATCCATGTGTGTGTGTGTGTGTGTGTCGTACGTCGATCCACTCTGCGATGCTGAGGAGGAGCTCCTGTGTGAAGTCATATGCCAGAGGGTGGGGGTCGGCGGCCGGCAGCTCCACGTTGACGATGGCCAGGTCGATGTCGGAGGTGGGCAGGAACAGGTTGGTGCTGTACGACCCGAACACCTCCACACCTATCGGCTGGTCCGCCTGTGCCCTGCGATATCTGGTGGTCGTTGGGAGAGAGAATGGAGGGATGGAGGACACACACACGGGGGCCACACGGTGGCTCGCTTGGTTCTGTGCCTGCGGTGAGCTTCTCACTTTTTGCGGTTCTCTTCGAAGAAGGCCAATATGAGTGCCCTCAGCACACAAAGCATCTGCTCCCGCCGCGCCCCCTCCTACAGTAAATATCACCACACCGGACACACACAACACACATCCATCCATCCATGTGTGTGTGAGTGTTTGTCCAGCGCACCTCCCCCCGTCTACCTTTGTTTTGATATGGTGGTCGACCGACGCGACGAACTGGTCTACCTCGGCACTCAGGTGCTGGAACACCCCACAATGCGCCAGCGACCCCACGGGCTGCTCCCTATACCAATACGATATCGGCTTCGGCTCAGGCGGCGCACACCCGTGGCCTCGCCCACCCCCGTGGTGGCCATCCCGCCCAGCGCCCCGTGGGCCAGCCCGCGGCGTGCACGGAGCACTCACGCTCTCACCATCCCCACCACCCACACCGTCAGGACCACCACCATTCTCCTCTTGCTGTGCCGCCTTGCTTGAAGTGGGGCGCCACTCCTGCCGCAGCGGCTGATCCGGGATGTGCGTGTGCGCGAGCGACTGATAAGGCGGCGGGCGGGGGCGTGGGTACCGGTAGGGAGCATAAGCACCCCCACTCCCTCCTCTGTGCATGGAGGGCGGCCGGCGCCCTCCTCGGCCCCGGGGGGGAGGAATGTCCCATCTGGCCGTGGGGCCCTCGTCGGGCTGCCGCGTCCGCCACTCTAACCCACTTCCATCGGCACCATGACCGTTGACTGCTGCTGATGCTGATGGTGCTGGTGATGGCCCCCTCCTCAGGCTGCCTCTCGCACCAGCCGTCCAGTCGCTGCTGCTCACACTGCCAGGGGGCCAGCCATTGACGACAATGCCATTGCCGTTTGCACGGGGGTGCCGGAACGTCCCAGTGCCACCAGCGGCTGGCGAGCCGTCCCGCCCCGACGAGCGAGACATGGGTGTGGACGACTGCGATGCGTAGGGGTCGGCAGAGTCACCGGGATGGCGCCTGTTGTTGTGTTTGTCGCTGCTGGTGGTGGTGCTGGCGGGGGTGTGTCGGGTGGCGTGAGAGGAGTGGCTGCAGGTGGTCATCTCGGATTGGGCGGCGCTGGTGGGGCGGGAGGGGTGGGCCAAGTTGATGAGCAGCCTCTCCAGGTCGGGGGCAGCCTGTGGCTCGCCGCCGGATGGAGGGGGCCTCCTGCACACACTCAGACAGACAGACAGACAGATCGACAGGTGGACGGAAGACAACAAGACCACCACCCACCAAAGCCTCTCCCCCTCTGTGTGTGTGCGTGTGAGTGCGGGGTTACTCGTGAGCTGATGCGTCTGCCGTGTCTGTGGCGCCTTGGTCGCTCTTGTGCGTGGGCGAGACGGGATCCAACGCACTCCGACGGGGAAACGCCTGCACGCCCTGTGGCGCCTGCTGCTCCTGTCGCCGCTGGTTATGCTGGTGTTGGTATTGGTTCTGGTGGTGGTGCTTCCTCCGTTCCCACACAGAGCCCTTGGCCAGTGATGGCCGGGGCGTGCTGCTGCCCCCACTGCCCACCTCCTATATGCGCGCGCACACACAGAAAAAAACCACTCGCCGTAACCGTCAGTGAGGCTGTCTGTCTGTCCGAGTCCCGCGGGTGTTCACGCACATCGTAGTCAGGTGGGGGCTGCTCGTCCCCATGAGGATGCGCCATGCGCTTGTTAAGGGGCAGGGCGGCGTGCGGCAGGGGGCACTTGCCGTCGCCGACGGGAGACGACACACGAGCGGGACAGCTGCACACCAACAAGACCAAAGGACGGAGGGAGGGAGGGAAGGGTTCTCGCAAGGCACGAAGGCCCACCCATCGTCGGTCGCTGACTTTTTCGTCGGTGACCGATTCAACGCTGCGTTGAGAGGCGGGAAGTGGTCTGCACAGCCACAACCAGCCACATGGACACATGGACACAGCACACGACGTGCTGGTGTCTGTCGATCCACATATCACCTTGAGAGAAAACAGGCTTGCGGGCGTCTACTATTATCTTGGTCCCCTGGCCAGCCTTGAGCACCTCAGCGGCGCCAGGCATCGCGGGGGGCACGTTCGTCGACGAGGGGCGACGCGACAACGGAGGGGGACCGACCTAACCCCCCACCCACACAGAGTGGCAGGCAGGCAGGCAGGCCGTCCATCCGTGTGATGTGTGCGTGTGGTCCTCTGGTTCTCTCGTGTGCCTGTAGGCGTACCTGTCGAGAAAGGCCCCTGCCCAAACCACGCCCTGATACCACCATACCATATGCACCCACCACACACCCAGGCATAATTGTATGGATGCCGACGTCCGTCCGTCCCTACCTGCAGCACGCGCCCTCAGGAGCTGCTGCTGCTGCAGGTGGTGGTCAGCCCCCACGACCCCCTCCTTTTCCCGCCACTCGCTGCCGTCGCCCTCCGATCCATACCCCTCCACATAGGACCCCTCCCGCTCACCGCCGTTGTTCCTCCGACGCCCGCCCTTCCTGACCCCCGCAGTGCCACCACAGCTGCTGGCAGATACGCCTTGGTCATCGACATCGCCACCGTCCGTCTGTGTGTGCAGGAGGGTGGAGAAGGACCGCTCGGCGTCGCCTTGGCTGTTGGTGGCGGGCGACTCTGTGCTGGAGTCGGTGTGGGTCTGCTGTGAGTAGACGACCAGCGATATGGGCTCTCTCTCTTGGGAGGATGCGACCGGTTTCTGCAGCCACACAGACACACAGACACATTGACTTGGGCCTGCCTGCCACATCTCAGGGTGCCTTTGCAACTCAGACACTGCAGCGAGCCTACCGGGCCTTCCCAGAGGGGCTGATTTGGGCTCCTGCAGTAAAGGAAGCGACAGAACAAGGCAGAAAAGCTCTCCGTGGCTTCTAACCCGCTATTCTCTGTGTGCAGCAGTCGGGTGTGCTCACGTACTGAGTGAGGAAGTGCTCATAGTCTGAGCATTGTGTCGTGGCGGCCTCAGCATCAGGCGAAGCGGGATCCATTCCCTCAGGGACGACACGCCTCACTCACAGAACCGAACCGAACAACCTCGGCTGGCGGACGACGAGGCGAGCGGACAACGACAAGAAATAACAGCTATCTATCAGTTCTTCATCAGACTCCATATAGCAGCGATAGCCATACTCTTCGTCAAGGCTGCGGCGTTGGCGAGCCTTGGATCTCTTCCCGGCTCGCGATAGCCTGGATAAGTGGGCACTATATCAGCATGTATACGGCAAAGTGCTTCAGACAGCTTCAGATCAGCATGTATATGGCAAAGAGGCTGAGACAGTCGAGTCACCGCCGATGAGTGTGGCAGATTCGGCACTGAATCGGCAGACCCCAATGGATGCGGGCTGTGTACAAAGCAATGACGGAGGTGAGGGGCGGCGTCAAGACGACTTTCGGTCCATGAATAACGGTCTACGAAGAGGTCAGTCACCCCCCTGCCACGAATGAATGATTGATGAATGAACACACAAGGAGCAATCACATGGGGCCTTTCTTTCCGCTGTTTGATGACAGAGATCAGCGGGGGGGCTTCGTCCGTGTCGGATGATCATCCCATTTGGGAGACCGCAAGGCCTTCCCAAGCCTACGGTGACGAGCCATGCGCCACTGTGTCCGAGGTGACGCTCAGGTTCTCGCCGCAAAGTACCCTTACAGCCGGCCACCTGACAGGCGAAGAACACAAGCATGACACTGACGGCGCGGTGGCTACTAAGAGTGGAGAGCCCGTTGCTATCACGGCAGCTGAGCTCGGCGACGAGAAGCAAGAGAGACGAGCGACCTTCGCGTCAGTCACTACAGCCGCAACAATGAGACGATCGAGCATGGCCGATGACGCGAACAACGTGGACGCCAATGAAGATTACGCAGAGGAGGGTCATGCGTTGCCACGAGAGGAGCAGGCGCTTAATGCATTGGTGCACGAGTGAGCAATAAGAGAAGAACCACTGCGAAAAGTGCAGGGTGGCCCCTTTTTTGTGTCATGTCTCGTCGCTGCATCCCCCATTGGCAGGTTTCGCGAGGCGGCAGGCTATGACGCTGCTTATGAAGAGAAGGAGACAAGGCTTACATACGAGACGGTCTTAAGACCCGACGGCAGCTCGCAGCAGGTGCTAGTGGGCGCCACTTTTGACCCTGGGCCCCTCCGTGTGACTGTCTGTCAAGTCATCAAAGTCACTACGAGGAAGCTGCTCAGGGGCATGGCACTTGCGGGCATTTTCATCCTCTATGTGATCGCTATGGGCTTCGCCTGTGATTCAACCGTAGTCGGCCTCACCTTTGACATCGTTAGCCGGGCTGTGATGGTCTTGACGGTCTACCTCTTCCTTCTCCACCTGACCGATGGATGCAACCTGCCCAAGATCATATCACGCCTCAAGACGTCATGGTGGTTGGTCGTAACACCCTTAACGCTCAGCATTATGGTTTCGGTGGCTTATCACGCTCATTGGGATCGCCGCTCGCTACGATGCGTCTTTTGGCTTTTCTTGGTGTGCTCCTTGATATGGCCGTACGCACACTTCTACACAGCTGCAAAGTCGCTGGGCGTCAGGAACAAGTGGGGCTATGCAGTCAAAGCAGGCACTGCCTGCGCGGCGGGCATTGTAGCTCTGGGCGTGCTGGGACACTTCGTACGCTCTACAGTAAAAGCAACGACAACTGATGCTGACAAGACGCGAAGGGCGCTCATATTCGTCCTTGCCATGCTACCCATTATCTCGCTCATTTCGAAGCTTGCGAGATCGATGAAAGTGAGCTTCGAAAACAAGTAAAAGGAAGTATGTATATGTGTGTCGATATATATGTGTGTCGACGCAGGAGGGGCCACCGACGCTCAACGGATACCTCGCAATTCTGATTAAGATGGTTCTCGTGATCTACCCTCGCCTGCTGCAGGCGGAAATGGTTAGGCTGTCCGCAAAGATTTTTTATTCGGTCTTGATTTCGTTGTAAGCGGCCTGGCCATGGCGCAGACACTTGCCTTTTCTTGTATTTGCATCGATCTGCTGGCTTGCTGCTTTCAGATTGGACCTCCTGAGTGACATCTTCCTACCATACTGGATACTACTCTTTATCGCTGCGCGAAGATTTCTGAGAGACAGGAGGCGAAAGGCAACGCGGCCTTCCTCTAATGACAGCAAAACTATTGCGGCGGTAGAGAAAATGAGAAAAATCACCTCATTGTCCTCGCGCAAGGACCACGACACTGCGAGACACGAAAATGCCAGCATGACGAGTAGCCGAATACTGAGAGCGGGCCTTTCCTACATTGCGGAAGAGCCGATCGTGTCTCACCCCCCGACCAATCTACAATCGGCTCTCGCCTCTTTGGACGTGAGCCCTCGCTACCTGAGAGCTTTATCGGAGCAAATCAGGGTGTGGGCCTTTCTGGAGGTCACCGTCTTGCTTTTCTCGAATCTGGTGGTTCTCATAAGCAATCAGATATGGGGCAGTGATTCGTCGCATGTCAGCTTTCTACAAGGTATGGCTCGTCTACTTGTCCTGGTCATCATCGAGTGTGCCTTCGAAGCGGTAAGGAACACAGGGACCCGAAAGCGTATACCTCACATTGCGGCCCATTTGTTGTTCGTCTCTCCACGTGCTGTTTGTTGTGTTAATTCGGTGGAACAACCTGCCAATGGTGCGAGCGGAATATGAGAGCAGTGTAGTATGGTGCAGATGCCTTATGTGTCTCTGGACTGGCCTTTGCTGGTGAGACTCATCAATTGCACCGTCACTTTTCTTTGTCCTGTATGTTGGCTTCTTGTGTAGTATATCGACTTGGTACATGCTGTTTGCGATCTACACTATGCGTGCCATGGGTGAGGAGAAGTGGGGCGATGCTGGGCCGGTAAGAATGAAGGTATGTTGGGGCCCTTACCAAATGCTGCTCTTTCTAGTAGGCCGAGCTCTGTCCAGGCTTTTCGTTTGTCATTGAGACATGGCAGGAAAATAGATGAAAGCAAAAGGTGACCATATTTGGTGGACGCCTGGCGGGCGGCGCGAACATGTTCTGCTGTACGACTTTGAGGGTAACAAGTGAGTCATATGGCAATGTGTCTGTGCCATGTGACTGGGTGGGTATCACTTGCCTGCATCTCGTGATGATTTTTGAATCATCCACCGTCATGCCGAAAGTTGGGAAGTACCCTGTCATGACAGTCAGTGCGTGTCACTGACAGCATGTGAAAGCCAAACACACAACAGCTACCATCAGAATTTGCATGCAAGGTTTAACGGAGTGTCCTTACGCGTTTGCGAGCTGCCTGCGGAGCCAACTAGCATTCATGTTGAGGGTGATGTTGAGGACATTGTCACTCACAGCCGAGCAGCGATTTCTGCGGCTACTGCCCCTGCTGATCTTGACAAAGCTGTCAGCCCTCTGCAATGCAGCGGCCGCAGCCGGTCCTTCGGCATTCGTCTCCCCCGTCCCGGCCACAGCGGAACTCACAACGCAGCCACTCCGCAGACCGCTGCTCTCTCTGTCACCGCAAAAACGGGGGACCGATTGGCGGCCGATGAGTCGACGCCAACACCGGCACAGTGGTACGTCGCTTGCCCTCTCCCTGCCCACGCCCGAGCTGGACACACCCGAGGCGATTGCATTCACACTGGCCAATTGCGGGGTCACACCTTTCTGGCTGCTCATGGTCTTCCTGCCGAACTGGTCCCTGACGCAAAGCGTCATGAAGACACCCATCCCCGTGGCCCTCACGGCCCTCTGTCAGCTCTCTATGTTCGTCTACGGTCTCGGGCAGCCTGACGCGCAAGAACTGGGGACATTCTTCGTCAGCGAGGCGGTCATCCGGCTCTCAGCAATGGTACAGATGCGCGAATCTCCCATCTTCGTTGCCGAGGAGTGGGCACATGCACTTACCTGGGACCTCCTGGCTGGTCAGCTCATCTATCTCGATGGCCTCCGGAGGGGCATCAACACTTCGTTTGCCCTGGCTGTCACGTTTGCGGCGGGCCCCCCTGGCTATTTGCTGCACCTGCTGATGGTGCAGCTGAGCAAGTTGGGCGGCGGGGTCGAGAGAGAGGACGCGGATGTTAGTGAGGAGATGGGGATGGGGGAACAGGCAGAGAGGCTCATGGGAGGCGATAGGACGGCAAGACGATCTGGTGACAGATAAGACAGACAGGGACGTTGGCAGGCAGGCAGGCAGGCAGGGTCTGTGTGAGTCGAGTGTTTGTGTGGATACATGCCTGGGTCGACCCGGACCGCTGAGCACTTAAATGCAGTCAGTGATTGAGTCATCCAATGCGCTGGCTCAGATGTCTACATTGGTGCGTGAACCTCTGTATATCGTTCGTCGGTCAGTATGAGGCAATCCATCCATCCATCCACACACATACTTCATTCACTCAGACAGACAGACAGACAGGGAGCAAACGAAATGAAGCCCTCTCTAGGTGCACACACGCCCATACCCCACACACAGCGCACTTCAGGGTCTCCCTCCCTCCCACCCAACCCCCGTTCATCAGGCAGCAGACACCATACAACATTTACTCCCTCGTCCATTTCGGTGCCGATGTGTGGGTGCAAGTATGAAGCCCGTTAGTTAGTCGGTTACTTGAGCGACTTGATGCCTGCACTCACACCGGCACACACACATTCACGGCCCCACAAATCAGCCAGCTCTTTTGCCAGTCAGTCATTGCAGCACCTCTGACGTCGGCAGGGGTGCGGTCTGCAGGCAATGCGATCAACACAAGACACACCGATGGGATACAGACAGAGGTATGTTTATGTTTAGGGGTGTGTGTGTGCGCACATTCTGCCCTTCACACACACGTGCCTCTGTCTGTGTGTGTGTGTACCGCAGAATTCAGAGAGGTCTGAGAATTTGTTTCGCCCCTTGTCGACCGTCGAGGGACCGCCGTGCTGGTGCACACCCGTGAACTGCAAGCACCGCACCGGGGCCACAGTCACCCGATGCAGCAGAGTGAGAGTCAGAGTCAGAGTCAGCAGTGAGTGAGAGACAGGTAGGTGTCACACAATGCCAGCAGACCCTCACACGCCCTCATTCCCCTTCATTCCCACTGTGGTCATTTACCGTCGACTTGTCGTCATAGAACCTGCACACACACACAGGTACAGAGAGAGAGACATACAGACAGAGGATATGAAGATCAGTGTGTGTCTCGTGGTCTCGTGTGTGGTGTGTGTCCTACTTGACAGCCTCGGTCTTGGTGCCGGTGAGAACGGGTCCTGACACCGTGCCACGTGCAGTGAGGGCACCCGTCCAGCCACCGACACACATACACACACATCATTCACACCACACGGATGGTGTCCCTTTCTCTCTCTCTATCTCTCTCTGTCTCTGTGTCTGAGTGTGTGTGTTCACAGACGGACCCTGTGAGGAGCCGATTTTGTTCTTGAGGTCAGAAACGGAGATCTTTTTCTTCTCGGCCAGCAGCTCCAGGGCCTGCTCAAACTCAAACAAATTGATCTGACATGGTGACAACATCCAACACACACACACACACACACACAGAGAGAGAGAGAGAGAGCACCGGAACCATGTGTATGGGAAGGGCGTCGTGTCTCCCATAAGTCAGCTGCTTGGTTGTCCTGTCCCTCCCTCCCTCCCTCCCTCCCCTCCCTGCTGTCGACCTTCCTTGCGGCCTTCTGCTTGACTTTGGCGAAGATCAGGTCCACCTGCAGCCAGCCAGCCAGCCAGCCAGCCAGGCAGGCAGGCAACGAATACCACTCTTATCATTCAATGGATGAAGAAACGACGGCAAATTCTGCCATCCGTCGCTCACGTACGTCAGTGGAAGTGCACTTGGAGTCGATGATTCTGCAGTCCTGGTCGACCAATCACAAGCGCACAGACAGACACACAGACAGAATCGAACACACGGAGAGAGAGCGAGAGAGAGAGAGAAAGGTGCGCACGCCGAGCAATCGACCGCCCGAGGTGGAGCCCCACAGCACGTGGCCTCACCTTGCTGCACAGCAACACAAACACAGAACATGGGCATGGGGCTGCCCGGGCCGTCACCGTCCACCCCACCCCCAGGCTGCTATGCTAACCAGAGTTTGACGAACTGCCGGCCGTCCAGTTCGCTCGCCCCGCCAGCAAAGCTGCGAAACGCCTCGGACACGTCAGCCATGGTGATGGATGAGCACCCCACAAACGAGCTGTTCGGTGAAGGTCGGTTGGCCTTCGGTCCTCGAAAAAAGAAGAAGAGAGGGGGGTGGGCGAGAGTCGAGACGCGAGCTTGGCTCTCAAAAAAGCTCGCAGACTCCTCCCGGAAGAAGAGGAAGATCCGGCGGTCCGCACAGCGATGGACATCGGCGAGGAGGCAGAGGCGGGCGTGCTGTCCATCCCTCTGATCTTCCTGGTCGGCATCTCCCTGCTGCCCAAGAGGGCGCGGTTCGGCTCGGCAGTCTGTCTGTTCCTCTCGGCGCTGCTCCTCTACATCGCCCGGATGTTCTTCGTCAACAGCAGGTCCGACCAGGTCAACGCGGCGCTCGTCGTGGGGCTGCTCAACGCCCTCATCCCATTGTCAGCCGTGTTCGCCGGGATCGTCTTCTTCAGAGTCATGCTCACGTCAAGGCTCATGTGAGCGACCAAGGGGCAGGCAGTGGGAGTTGACACCCCCCGTGACGCTCCCGTTCCTGTGTGTGACCGCCTTTGCTGTGGCGCTGTGTGTGTGTGTGTTCAGGGGTGGTGTGTGCAGCGTGTTGCGGGAGGCGTGTGGGCGCCACCCCGCGGCAGAGATGATGGCCATCACCGTGGGACTCAGCTTCATCGTGGAGGGACTCATCGGGTAAACAATCACACAACAACACACGCACAGGCTACCTGCCTACCTGTTCGTTCGGCTGTCCTCTCCCCTCCTCTCAGTCTTGGCAGCGGTGGCGTCTTCGCCTCTCTGCTGCTGAACGCCCTCGGGTGGCCCCCGTCGGCCGCCCTCACTGCGGGCGCAGCCCTGGCGCCTCTGGCGCTGATGGGCGGCACAAGCGGGCTGCCCATTTGGTTCGGTCTGCAGTTCGTGCCCACTGAGGCCACGGACGGGAGCTCCATGGAGGGCCTGCTGGTGCCCTTCGATGAGGGCATGGAGGAAGTCATGATCGAGACCGCCGTCAAGACCATGGCCGTCATGGCACTCTGCTCGGCGGTATGTATGCTGTTTGCATCTTTGGGGACACACGGATGCGCTTTGCCATTCATTCGTGTGTGCGTCATGATGTGTTTCGTGTGCCCTTGTTGCGTCATGTGTGTGTGTCACGACACCAGGTGGTTCCCATTCTGGTGGCGTGTCAGTGCGGCGGTCTCAAGGCGCTGCGCCAGTCGACCCCCTTCATCCTCTTCGCATCCCTCGCCACCACCGTCCCCGCAGCCGCCCTCTGCCTCATCCACTCACAACTCGGCATCCTTGGGGGCGGCATCGTCGGCACCGGGCTCACTCTCACCGCAATCAGGCTCAAGTTCTTCCTGGGGCCCTCATTCCAGCTGCTCGAGGCCACTGGACCCGCACTTGAGAGGCACCCCAGCGACTTTACCGACTCATCGGTGCACTCGGACACCCTCAGTGAGGGCCGCGTACACGGCGGGGCGTCGGACAAGTCGATGGAGCGTGGGGCACGCGAGACGCCCTCGACGCGGCCGGCTGCTTCTGTGACGACGCCGACCCCCCACAGCGGTGTGTGGGAGCCTGAGCGGTCGCCGACACCCAACCTCAGCCAGCCGCTGGCGATTGTGCACCCCAACCTGACGGGCTTCCAGCCGATTGCCCAGGGGCCCATCCCGGAGGAGGGCGAGGAGGAGGATGCAGAGGCCGAGGCAGGTGCCGGTGGGGATGGGGATGGGGATGGGGATGGGGATGATGGCCGCGTGAGCGAGCAGGACAAGGCGCAGTCGTTCTCGGCGCCGTCTGACGTGATAGCCCAGTACATGGGCCGCAGCAACAACAGCAGCGAGCAGTCGTCGCCCATCCACCGCAGGCAATACCATCAGGGAGAGGAGGAGGCATGGGCAGAGGGAGAGGAAGAGGGAGAGGGCGACACGTTTAACCTCACCGCAGCACCACCACCAGCACCAGCACCAGCAGCAGCGGCGGCAGGGCGCCTTCAAGAAGAGCTGTCAGAGGAGTCGTGGAGCGCCCCACAGGTGCCTCCCAGGGCACCCATCCCACCTCACGCCGAGCCCGCCGGGCGAGCGGACCAGCACCAACAACCGGAGCAGCAAGAAGAGGACACCGAGACCCCGCCAGCCAGACCGTTCAAGACGCTCATGGAGCAGACCCTGGGCGCACCACCACCCACACCACCAGAAGGCGGCAAAGAGCTCAACGAGAAGGAAAAGGAGAAGGGCAAAGAGGATGCCAAGAGGGAGGGAGAGGGGGAGGCTGAGGGGACCGGTGCAGGTGTCGGTGCGGTGGAGAGCCTGACGTCGCTGATGCTGTCGGCGCTGCCCGGGGAGTCGGAAGACCCGGAGGGACGCACCTACACACAGCTGCTGAGAGACGAACGCCCATTCAGTAAGCTTAAGCCACACGACCCACCACCCCCACCACCCTCCATTACATGCGTGTGTGCAGGTTCGTCAGTGTGGACTCCGCCGGACGAGGGCCAGGCCCGTGTGGCCGATGAGGAGGGTGCCGACATGGATGTGGAGATCTGCCGGAGCGAGTCGTACCCCGAGATGAGTTCCAACGCCATCAGCGACACCAGCAGCGAGCCCGACTGCTGGCCCATCTCCAGGGCCATGTCGGCCATCAGCGCCTGTGGCTGCGACCCGGAGCACGGCGTCTACGGCTACGGAAAGAAGAAGCAGAAGTCACCCGCCGCCAGAAAAGGTCAGCTCTCCCCCATCCCTCTCCTCTCCATCCATCCATCCATCCCGCTCTCTCTCTCTGTGTGTGTGTGTGTGTGTGTTTAGCGGGTCGTCGCTCCCGCGGTGTGGGCATGTCCCCCCTCCCCTCCCCCTCTCTGCGCGACGTCAAGGTGCTCGAGCCAGAGGTCCCCCGGATGCTCCCAGCAGTCGCCGCCCGCGGCCTCCCCGATGACTACATCATCCGCTCTGGCGTCGACAGCCCCCAGACCCACACACACTGGAGCCAGTTCTCCTCGCCCGAGGCACCCTCACTCCGACACGGCAACATGTCAGCCAGCACGGCACAGCCCACCCCGGCGAGCAGCCTGACCGTCACACCCACGCCGCTCGCCGACCGTCGGCGGGCTGTTGTGCGCAAGGCTGGGGCGAAGGGCGAGGCCATGGGTGGGGCGGAGGTGCGCAACGCGCGGCTTCAGGTGGATGTGGGCGGCGAGGGTGTGCGACGGGTGTTGGAGGAGATGGAGGTCAAGGACATGCTGGCCAAGGTCTATGGGAGGCGGCTGCCGGTGGTCATCACGCAGAGCGAGGGAAGGGCGCTCCTGGGGCTCGCACACTCGCACAATGCACCCCACAAACGGGACAACACCAAGGGACCAGAGGTGAGCTGAGCGAACGGCCACACACACGCCCCACAAAGGAGTCCCAGAGACACACACGTACCTCTCTCTCTCTCCCTCCCTGTGTGTGTGTGTGTGTGTGTTAAAGGGTGTCAACCGTGAGGCGTCATCAGCGTCTCGTCTGCAGAGTTTGCAGCGTGAGCGGATGGGGTGGGGGTGGTTCGCCCTTATCCTCTCATGGGTGATGCTGCTGCTCATGCGCCTCCCGCAAGTCGGGCTAGACACCTACCTCAAAGCCACTGACCCACACGGACAGGTAGGTACTCAAGAAATGGACAAACACACACACACACCCAGAGAGAGAGAGGGAGATTGTGTGTGTGTGTATGTGTGTGTGTGTGTCAGGTGTCGTTTCGGAACTTCGGAGTCTTCCGGATCAGCGCGGCGATCGTGATGGAGCTGGAGCAGGTCTTCCGGGTGCCCGACGCCAAGTGGGTTTACCCCACCCTGGCACTCCCCTTCATACTCCCCTTCATCCTACTCGCTGCCATCATCCTCGCATACTCACGGTAAGTAACCCCCAAGCCCAGCCCCCAAAGCCACCCACCCACCCACCCACACACAAGTGTGCCACTCATTTCATTCCCTGTGTGTCGTCCGTCTCTTCTCCCACCAGCAAGTCGCCCGTGTCGCCATTTCTCCACTCCGCGCGGCTCTTCCGCGGCCCCGCCCTGTCGCTGCTGTTCGGCGTCCTGTTTGCGCAGCTGTTCAACACGCCCACACTGACGATGCGGCCAGAGGAGACCCCTGCAGACGTCATTGGTCGGTTGCTGGGCGGCAGCCTGGCTGTCCCGCTGGCCGGTGCCGAGGAGGTGGTGGGTCTGGTGCTGTTTGCCTTTGGGGTGCTGGTGGGGGTGGGCAGCGGGAGCGTCGTCATCAGCAACCTGTTGCTGGCAAGACTCGCCGCAGCTACGGCCACAGAGATGGTACTGCACGGTGGCCGATGATTGCTCTGCATGCACCCCTCTCTCTCTCTCTCTCTCTGTGTGTGTGTGTGTGTGTAGGGTCTGTCGGTGTCGTCAATGCTGAGCATGACGGTGCTTGGCGGGTGTGTGGGCCAGGCCCTCGCCGCGGAAAACATGCTGGCCGCCGCCATCGCTGTCACGGGTACCTGCACACACACACACACACACTCTCTACACACACCCACTGCTGGCACCATCTGCCCTTGTGTGTGCCTTGACCCAGGGCGGAGGAGGCCCGTGAGCATCACAGCCCTTGCAGACGCTGGTAGTGGTAGTGATGGTGCTGATGGTGCTGGTGCTGGTGGCTCCGCTGCTGGTGTCGCACCTGTCCAGCCCCCCGATGCTTTTCTGTCGCCCAAGTACTTCATGACGCACTATGGACCAGCACTCGCCGCTTACACCGGTGAGTGCGTGAGCCACGCGTTAACACACACTCAGGCATCAGGCACGGGCAACCAACAGCTCGATTGTGCTTTCGCTCTGTGTGTGTGTGTGTGTGTGTGCAGTGTTGATATGCGGCGTGGGGCTACCGGTTTTGGGGCTCGCGTGGACATGATGATTATTATCGAGTGAACGACCGACTGATTGAATGATGGGCTGATGGCAAGCCGGAGAGCGACCCAGCAGAGTGCTCCCGCCCTGCTCGGTTCCTACTCCACCACTCCTTTCTCCCTCCCTCCCTCCCTCCCTCTCTGTCTTCTTGTGTGTCATGTGTGTGTGTGTGTTTGTGTGCGTGTGAAGGACGCTGCAATGTCCAGCGCCGCAAGACAGGCCAGCAGACAGACAGACAGGCAGGCAGGCAGGCCCCTCGCCCTTTTATCCATCCACCCATCCATGCACCCACATGTGTCCCCATCAATATGCATGTTCCTGTCCGTCTGTCTGATGTGTGAGTGTGTGTGTGTGCGGTCTATAGCCAGGGGTCCGTGTGGGTCACTCACGCCATTGAATAACTGACTGACTGACTGACTGAATGAATGAATGAATGAATGTCCATCATCACCCACCCCACTCTCTCTCGTGTAGAGCCCAGCTCAGTCAGCCGGCTAAGCCAAGGATCAAGAGGGGGAGGGAGAGGGGGAGAGGGGAGCGAGGAGACATTATTACCCATCACACGACAGCTGGCTGGAGGGCTGGAGGGCTGCCAGCGGCGGGTGGGGTTGGTTGGGTGGATTTGGAGAGGCCTGGTGGCGGCGGTGGTCGGGGGCGTGGCGTGGGGTGGCATGTACATTTAGCGTGTTGCTGTCTGTTTATGTGTGTGTGGAGGTGGAGGTGGGTACCCACCCAGGGTGCATTGCTGCTGCTGATGGCCACTCACTGGGCTCTCTCTGTGCGCTGGGTGTGGTGTGGGTGCGGGCGAGACCGACCGACCGACCGACAGACAGACAGATAGACAGACAGGAGACGGTGTGTTGTGTTGGTGTGTTATAGCTTTATATCTTTACAGAGAGAGGATGGGGCGCGGCATTCAGAGAGGGGTTAAGTGTTATTTCTGGCGGCATGCCTGGGTGTCCACCTGTCCGTCTGCCTGCCTGGGTGGCTGACGTGCGTGTCGGTGTCCCTATGGGCGCGAGTCGAGACAAGCGAGTCTGCTGAGTGATGTGTGAGCTGTGTTGTGATCATTTTTCAACCAGGGAGGCGACGGAGAGGCGCGGTGGTTTTCAACAGACAGAGAACGCGCCGCATACCCCATGGGCACGGCGCAGCGCCTGATCGTCGGTCAGTTGCTTTTGCCTTCTCTCCATCCATCCATCCGTCCATCCATCCACACATAGTCCCGCCTCACTGACACGCTGCGTGTGTGTGTGTGCATGCCCTGGTGTGTGTTGCGGTGATGGTGATAATTCGCAGCAAAGCAATGTGGACATGTATATGCAGGAAATTGCGTTTGTCTGGTTTTCGTAAGCGGCAGGCACCCGCAGGGGGGGGATGGGGGGATCAAGCGTTGGGGGTGCCTTACCGTGCTGCATCGCACCGATATTGCTGAAAGACAGACAGACAGACAGACAGACAATGGGCGGGCGCCATGACATTTCCCTGATGGCGGCTGCCTGCATAGCCGCGGTGTGCATGGTTGGTTTGTGAAATGAGGGAGGGAGGGAGGCGCTCTCATTCGTTCGTTCGTTCGGTCGTTCGGTCGTTTGGTTGGTTGTCTGTCTGTCTGTGTGTCTTATATATATTGGTGGTGTGGGGTTACGCGTGTGTGTGTGTGTGTGTGAGTGTGATGTGGGTCGGATGCATGTGGTCGCACATGGCAATTCGCCCCTGCACTCACTCACACGACGCAACGGAAGGCAGCGCAGTGGCCCCTCTTGTTTTGTCGACTGACTGACTGACTGGCTGATTGGTCCATCCATTCATTCATTCATCGTCGGTTTTGCTTTTCCGGCTCGCTGACTGCCTGTTCGTCCGTCCGTCCGTCTCAGTGTCTCAGTGTCTCTTTCTGTGTCGGTGTGTCTGTCTGTTTTGAGCCAGCCAGCGTTGTCCGTGTGTCATTTTTGCTTTGCTCCTCACCTCACCTCACTGGCGTGGTCGCTTCCTTTTTCTCCTATCCCCTCCTCTCTCCCTGTCTGTCGGTCGGTCGGTTGGGACATCTGCTCCATCCATCCATCCAGGTGCCACCCATCCATCTATCCATCCATCCATGCGTCACTGTGGGTATGTGATAATGTATCTAATCGCCGTGGTGTGTGCATACCGGCCTTTTATCGTAAGTGACCCTGGTGCGGACAGCCGTCACATACATCGCCACCACACCCACCCCAGCTGACTGACTGACTCAGTTGAGTAACTGTATCATTACAGGCAGGCAGGCAGGCCACGAATGCAGCACTGTGATGTGTGTGATGTATGTATCCCTAAGGGGGGAGGGGGGCAGACAGGCAGGGAGCGGACACATCATATTCACATCTCGCCACACCACGCACCACCCTCGCCCATGTGAGCGTCTGTGTGTCTCTGTGTTTGGGTGTCTCCCTGCGCAGCTGTCTGTCCGTCTGTCACACGTATTATGAGTATTTAGGTCCCATAGGTGGAACAAGTGAGGGAGTGAGAGAGGGAGTGGCCATCCTTGCATCAGACATGCACACGCCCCAACGCGCGAGCAAAAAGCCAAGATGGACAGAGGAAGGGGACCTCCTCCGTGTGCCATCGTGAGGGTGCGTCATGCATGCAGCAGGCCGACGATGGATGGATGGGGTGGATGGGCGATGCCTTTTTATCGTAGAACTGCATACAACAACAAGACAAGCTGGCTCCGGCTGTATGTACATGAGTGAGAGTGAGTGAGTGGGTAAAGGACTACATACCGGTGGGCATGATTCTTATCTTCAAGTCACTGGTACAGGATATCAGTCACGTCACGGTCGGACGAACTTGAGCTCGTCGAACAGCCTGGCCACATGGGCCGGATGCATAAGGCCCACCGTGACACCAGCGTCTCGTCTCGCTGACCATGACCTTCCTTGCGTCCACTTTGCTATTGTTCCTGTCGCTGTGTCGCACCAGCTCCCTCGCCGACGCCCCTTGGCAGCTGCCACTGTCGGACAAGTGCAGCAGCGACCAGCAGCCCGCCATCGGCCTTTGTTCCGTCACATACAGTAAGACCATACATAGGCTGTGCAGGCAGGCAGGCAGCCAAGGGGTGTTCATGCATGTCTTGTGTCGGCCTCATTATGTGTGATGAGGACATTTTTCCGACAGATGCAGGCAGCGAGAGTGGCAAGGCGGCCACCGGTGGCGTGACCGGGGACGAGCTCTTCTCGGCGTTGGGGACGCTGCTCGCGACGTGCAGTGCTGATGTTGATGGGGAGGGCGCGGTCATCCATCTGACACTGCAGGCAAGCAGTGCGTGAGAAAGAAGGAGTCAATGAATGAATGAATCAATGAGTGAACCCATTGGGCATCCTCGTTGGTTGGTTGGTTGATGTGCAGGAGAACGGCGAAGCCGGGCTGGGCAGGTGGTGAGCGGCCGGGACCACGTAGGAGATGCCTTTGTGCAGCCAACACATTGCACACCGCACACCTATCGTCTGCCTGCAGGTTGCACCATTGGGCCAAGGAACACTTCTACTCGTTGCTGATCTTCGACGCCGACGCAAAGGCTGCAAAGAGCTCGGCGGCTGCGACCCCCTCCTTCAGTGGCCACTACCCCGCCCACTGGCTCGTCCCACGGTTTATCAAAAACATTCACAAAGTGCCGATCTACTTGTGGGGATCGCTCTACGTCTCCGAGGGCCAGGCGGAAGTCCCTAGGGTTGAAGCAGGACTGCCCGACACGCGAGACGGGGTGGTCATGGCCGTGTTGCTCGAGATGGATCGTTTCTCGTTGGTCAAAGGTGATCAAGTCAAGGCCGCGGAGCTCTCCTTCATGCAGCACGACGCAGGGGGCCCACGCAAGACGGCACTCAAGACGGCTGCCGTCAATGCGGTCAGAAAAGGTCGCACAGAGTGTGGGGGTGTGGGGGGGGACATCATCTGTGAGTGTGTCTCCTTTGTGTCTCGTCTCTCTCTCTCTCTCTCTCTGTGTGTGTGTGTGTGTGTGTCACCGCGCAGTTCAAGACAGCCAGCGGGCAGGGCAGGACTACCGCAACCAAGGAGGCCGTTCTGGCCAAAATCCCCATCTGGTGGAAGACACCGACCGGCGCTCGAACCAGCTTACAGCTGTGCTTCGGCGGGGCTCACCTCGACAGCACGGCATCGCCCACCAGCCGCATCAAGCAGGCTTCCACCATTTTCAAAGCATTCGGCGGCGGCACCGCTGAAGCAACAGAGGCAGAACACTTGCTGGCGTGTGACGTCGCAATCGTCAATGCCGACTTCAACCCCCGAGGCATCCCGGGGAATCTCCAGGACAGTCTCCCTGACACTTGCTTCGACAGATACTTTTCCATGCCGTGGCATCCCTTCTCCGGTTCATACATTCTGTCCAACACATACATTCGGAAGCCTATGTTCTTGACAGAAATCCTGGGTCAGCCGGACGAGGGTTATGTCAATTTGTGGACAGGCAACATGACGCCCATCAGAGCAAAATACCTGGAGGTCGACGGGGCTGTGGAGGAGGCAGAACTAAGATAGCCCACCACTGCCGGAAGAGCAAGGAGGAGACAACGAGCTGTGCTGTTTCCTCGACGCCGAGTGGAAGGAGATGGCCATCGACTTTTTGCCCACATTCCACCTACCCATCGTCGGTTTGTGTCTTTGTTTGTGTGTATGTATGTCACACATGCGAGAGACAGACAGACAGACAGACCGGTCGGTCGATCGGTCGGTCGATTTCTCGCTTGAGTCACGCATGTCTTTTTGCTGGCCTGCAGAGTCGGAGTGAGCCCGTCAAGCGTCACGACTGCAGGAGGCTGAAGTAGAAAGAAGAGGCTACCACTGAGGAAATGGTCGACCGCCTCGGCTACCGATGCCTGGCGTTTGTGCCGCCTAGCATGCGCACGGCCGCGGGTGGGGCAGCGGGCAACGCCACGATTTCGATGGACAAGACAGTGGAAGGCATGCAGGCCATCGAGAATACCCAACTGAAGCTGTGCAGAGCAGGTGCGCACTCGAGGACGTTCACTGCATGTCCGCACACACACACACACACACAGAGGGGGAGAGGGAGGGAGGGAGGGAGGGAGAGAGGGAGGGAGGGAGACATCCCAATCCAATGAGGCCGGAAATACACACGTCTGTCTGTCTGTCTGTTCTCAATCAATTGTCTGCCTGTGTGGTGTCAGGAATATGCTACATGGAGGAGGTACTGCTCTCACGATGTCATCCAGTTTTCTGATCAGACGCTGTCCCCTGTGTCTTAAAACTTTAGCACTGCCCTCAGTACTGTGACAGAGTCTTCGCCCGGAGCTGGTCTGTGCGGTGGGCACTCGTCGGGTGAGCGACCGACCCATGCAGCGAGGCCTAGGGGAAAGCTCCCTCTGTGTGTGTGTGTGTGTGTGTGGACACTGACTGATGCAGGTGTGGCTACAACTCCTTCCCGTCAATACGACTCAGTGACCACACCCCCGTCATGGGCCTGTTCCGGCTGCGGTTCGCCCCCCGTGGGACCAAGTACACCAAGCGACGCAACTCAGAATGGTCTTTCTTGTGAGAGGGGGAGAGACGCCTCAGAGAGACATGAGGCCATGTGCAGCTCTCCTTGGCTCAGCCTGAGCTCAGCGGCTGAGTGCCGACGCTCTATCTGTCCGCTGGATGCATGCGAGACGTACGTGCACCCAACATCCATCCCTCCATCCTTCCATCCCTCTGGCCATCAACGAATGAATGAATGAAGGCACAGCACACACACGAGTCGAGTCAATCAACGCATGCATCGGTCCGGTCTGCCGATCCGATCGCTTCACAACACGTACGTATGGGTACGTGTACGGATGTCAAACACCACCCATCCCATACACGTGCCATGCCAACCCACCGATGCGTCCTCCCCTCACCCCACCCCACTGCTCTGGGCACTCGTGGGCGCCCTGGTGGCCGCTGTGCTGCCGGCACTGTGACATTCCGCCTCATTGACGCGCAGCCCGCCCTCCTTGCTTTCCTCCGCGGCAGCGCCATGAACACGACAACTCGGCACTCTGCGGCGGACGAATGCGGAGTCGCTGGGCGTGGATGGCGGCTGTGGGGCCTGGGAGGGGGCGGGAGGCGTCACGATGCGACGATGCTGAGAAAACAGATACACACCCGTTTGATGACACTCTATGCATGTGTAAAGGTGCCGCTGGCCGTTCGTACTTGTCTACTGTGTTGCCTCTGCTGCTGCTTCATCCACTCCCTCTCCTCAGCACTCATGGTCGTGGCCGCCTCCAGCCGCACCTGAGCCATCAGTGCACGGATGCCCAACACACCGCCGGCACCACCACCGCCCCTCCCCCTCTCCCCAACACGCGCACTCTGCGTGCTCCTCTGTCTACTGTGGCGGATAGCCGCCAAGGGGCTGCCCGCGAAGCTGCGATCAGTGCCGACAGTGAGGTCTGACACACCGCTGTCGGCCGCACCATGCTGTTCGTCGGCCACCCAGCCGAAGTCCGATGCAGGCCGGTGATGATACACGAGCGAGGGGGGCGGGACGGCTGGAGTGGAGGGGCGGCGAAGGGAGAGGGGAGGGGGGACCGGGAAGGGCCCGTGGTGGGACGCCGCGCTCTCTGAATTGAAGGATGCAGACAGTGGCAGGCAGCGATAGATACACGCGCACAGGATGTCCAGTGGTCTCGGTTTGTCAACTTACGGGGTCTGGATGGCATGTGCGTCCTCTGGTTGAGTGCTGCAGCCGATGTGGGGCGGTGTGACGCCCGCGATGCGCTGCTGGATGAGGCAGCTGACACCGTGGCAGCAGCGCTCCGACACGCCTGAATCAACCCAACCAAGCCAAAGAACCTCTCGAGTCGCGCAAGTCCATCGTCAGACACCCTTACCCCACTCACCTTGATGCTCTCAACGAGCAGTTCCTCCTCCGCAGGCTCACCAGGAAACACATCACCGCCACCACGAACCGCACCACCAGCTGCGGCCGATTCTGCCGCATCGCCCTCCCTGCCCATATCCCTCTCGACGTCGGCCTTCATCCTTCTCAGCCGCGGAGACGACACTAGACACTCCAGAGGGGGCATGGCCGACAGGCAAGGGTTGCACGACCCAGACGAGAAGCCACCGCCCGAGGGGCCACCCATCGGACCATTGTCCTCCTCGTTCTCCTCCTCGATGGCGTCGAGCTGCGACAGGTCGAGCACCTCTACCTCATGCCCTCGCGCATAAGTCGGCACCGGAACACCACGGCCAGACGGCACCTCGTCCCACTCGTCAGGCTCCGATTCCTGCTGCCTCTCCTCGCTCTCCTCGCCGACCTCCTCCACCTCGAGCAGCCCGCTCCTGCTGCCCAGCGGGGCGTCGTCGAGGGTTTGCAGCTGTGGCAGCCGCTCGGCCACCCACTGGGGCGAGAAGGCGGGGTCGTGTGTGAGGGGGTTGGCCTGGAGGGTCAGGTGTCTGAGAGCCGGGCATGATGTGAGGAAGGTCACCTCCTGCAACGACCGCAACTCATTGCCCTCGAGGTCGAGAACCTCCAGACACTCGTGGCCTGACGGATGGACAGACGGCAAAAACCATGCACACACAGGGAACGGAGATGCGTGTGTATGTGTGTGTGTATGTGCGTATGTGTGTGATTGTGTCTGTGTGTGTGGGGTGAGTGCATTCATTCATCCATCGCACCTGCCAGCGGCCAGAGCTCTTCGATAGCATTAAACGCCAGATAGAGTTCCTGCAGTGCAGGCAGCCCCTGCACCCCTCCCAGATCCCTCACTCCGCAGCGCGTCAGCCACAGCACCCGCAAACAGCCGAACCGCACGCCCAGCTCCCGAAGCGACGGCACGTTGGACCCATTGAGCCGCAGGTGACGCAGAGAGGGCAGGAGCTCCCCCAACTCGGCGATGGGCTGCTCGTCCACATCCACGCACAGCTCGACGCTCCGGACGGATGAAAGGTCATCTGCGTCGGTGATGTGCCGGAGATAGGATGGGTCGAGGACGTCAAGGGGCGCATCCTCCCGCTCCCGCAGCCGCATCCTCTGACTCCCGCAGCAGGAAAGCCGCCAAAACGGATTGATCCGCTGCGCAACTCGCAGGGTTTCGGAAAGGGTGCAGGGTTTTGCGAGCTTTCCCGAAAAGGGGAATGAACGGGCGAATGTGCATTGGAAGCCTCGTCTGATGGATTCAGAATCTCAGCTGGCTGAGATCCGCAAGCGCAGAAAGGAGGAGTACCTGAAGCGCAAGGAGGAGGGCGAGAAGCAGGCCAAGGCCGCCAAGACCACAGCCGGCGCCACCTCATCCGGCGTGAGCGCATCGGCATCTGCTGCAGCGGCCGCAGCGCCGGCAGGTCCCTCCCAGCCCGCCGCCAGGGACCTGGATGCCTCCATGACGGACGAGGAGCGTTGCCGCAAGCGCCAGGAGGAAGCCGACCACGCCCTGGCGATGCAGCTGTCGGGCGAGATCAACGCTGGGGCTGACCGCACCCATCAGCAGCAGCAGCAGCAGGCCCGACCCCCCCCGACCAGGGGCAACCATTCATCGCATCTGCCCTTGGCCAACCCCAGCAGCACACGCGCCAGCCATCAGGTGCACGAGACGCTGCGTGGCAGGTGGCGGTTGGTGCGGCATGACGGCGGCCAGCCTGAGCCTGAGTTCTCGGAGCAGGAGGTCAAGGCCATCGAGGCCAGAGGCGAGGCCATTCTGCTCGATTGTCGCGAGAAGCTCAAGCAGCCCGGGGCCAAGAGGGGGGTGATTCGCAAGGAGACCCTGGAGCGACTGACGCAGTTGGCCATCGACACCAAGTGCGTCACCGGCAAGTGGCTCCTCTACTTCGGTGGGTGAGAAGGAAAGACAGAAGCAAGGAGGCAAGGAAGGAAGCAAGGAAGGAAGGCCTCTTTGCAATGCATTGATGGACGTTACTTACTGTGTCTTGTGGTGTTGCCGTCCGTCCGTCCGTCCGTCCGTCCGTCCGTGCGTCCGTGTGATGCTGATGCATGCATGCATTGCACTGCAGGTGATGACATGATAGATGAGGCGTGGCGTCGTGTGGCGTTGGCGACCAGCCAGGGGCAGCTGGGCAACTGCTCCAAGTGCGCCCTGAGGCCCAGCGGCCCCATGTACGTCATCTGTGTGTACAGTCCCGACTTCCGCGACCGGCAGGAGGTCAAGCGCGTCCTCAACGGCCTCCGCAAGATCGGTGTGGTGGCCGACGGGACGCCTGGAGATGACCACCAGCAGCAGCAGCAGCAGCAGGGCGGCGGCGGTGGTGGTGAGGAGTTCAGGGGCAACAAACGAGTCCGCTACAAGCTCGATCTGCTGACGTACGTACGGCAGCCAGCAGGAACCCATGCACCGCATATACCGACTCACTCACGTGCTGTGCTGTGCTGTGCTGTGCTTTGTGCGCTCTCCCTCCCTCTCTGTGCGCTGCGCATGTGTGTGTATTGGTTGGTTGATCAGGATTTTGGACGTGTATTCTGGCAACACAGGCACGTGGGCGGATCTGCGCCTGTCGCCCGTGACGCAGTACAGCTCCAACGACTTCACAGACGAGGAGTACCTGAAGCGCAAGGAGGAGGGCGAGAAGCAGGCCAAGGCCGCCAAGACCACAGCCGGCGCCACCTCATCCGGCGTGAGCGCATCGGCATCTGCTGCAGCGGCCGCAGCGCCGGCAGGTCCCTCCCAGCCCACCGCCATGGACCTGGATGCCTCCATGACGGACGAAGAGCTTTGCCGCAAGCGCCAGGAGGAAGCCGACCACGCCCTGGCGATGCAGCTGATGAGGGAGATCAACGCTGGGGCTGACCGCACCCATCAGCAGCAGCAGCAGCAGCAGCAGCAGAAGGCGGGCATCAAGCACTCAGGTACCTGGGCGGCGGGTGGGTGGATGGATGGATGTGGTGTCATGGGTGTGGTGTGGTCTTGTGTGATGTTTGTGGTTTGTGCTCAGCGTTGTCTCGAGAGACCGAGAAGAGGCGCGCTCCATCCTGCCCTCCCCATCCATCGCACCCGCCCGCTGGCCAGCCATCTCAAGGCGCCAAACACAAGCGCGACACTCAGTATCACTATCTGTGGAACGAGCCGACGGGAGAGAATCACTATGACATTGCCAAGATCCAGTCGAGGGGTCTGCAGATTCTGACGGACCAAGCGCACGGCGGCAAGAACACCGTCATCAAGGAGAGGCTCCTCCAGCTGGCGGCCGAGATGGGGTGCGTGGCCGGCAAATGGATGCTCCATTTTGGTCGGACAGACGAGCTGGCCTGGCTGCACCTCAAGAAAAGTGCATCTGTCTGATGCGATGACATATGTGGATACGTTTCTGTTGTTGCCCTCTCCCAGATGGAGAGAACAACCTGCGCACGGCCTGTGCTCGCGCGATCGATTTGCACAGCGAGGGGAAGCTCGGCCCAGCTGCCAAGCACACCGTCGAGCCCAAGGAGGACGACCGAGGTCGCCGCCTGTACATGCTCGGTGTGCACACGAGGGACTTCACGGACCAGAAAGACGTCCATCGTGTGCTCAACGACCTGCGCGCCAAGGGGCTCGCGCCCCTGTGGAAGGGGGGACGTGGAGGTGCCACTGCCACGCCACAGACTCTCAACTGCATCTCGCCCATGTCCTACGTGACATACAAGCCCGACATCTACGCGTAAGACGACACACACACTTCCATGGACGAATGAGTGAATGGATGGATGGATGGATGTGTTGCTGTCCGTGCTTGTTGCCAGACATCTGGACATCTACTGGGAACCGGGCAACTCGTGGCAGCTGCCGCCCACCATCTACCGGTCGGACTCGGTCGAGTTCCGCGAGTACCCTTGAGGGCAACGGGTAGATAGATAGACCGACAGATACGCAGATAGATAGACAAGGCCGTGTGAGGGCCACGGCCGGGCAGACAGACAGACCCTTGGGTGGGCGTGTAGAAGACAGAGAGAGAGAGTCTGTCGGAGATGGTGAGGAGAGACATGCGTGTGGGCGTTCATGAGTACTTGCTACGGAGGGCTGACGGATTGATTCATGCCAATGTAGATAGATGTGTGACTGCAGCCGCTTTTCTCTTTAGCCTTCGGGCTTCATCTGTCTCGATGCATCCGGAGTGGAAAGTACAAGATTGACAGCTTGTCTCCCGCCTGTCGAGAATCGAGACGGAGACGGGCCGTTAAAAAAAAATAAAAAACCACTGGTTCGGCATCATCCCTCTGGTGACCTATTCCATCCTTTATCGCTCTTGCTGACACTCGTGAGCTCAACAGCTGTCGCCCTCGCCCACACAGCGTCACATATGGCCGGTCCGCTGCCGGATGCAAGACGCATGAGGGCGCGATGCCGATTGCGGTCGCTGGCTGCTGTTTCCTGATCATAGGGAGATTTATGGGCATCTGATAGACTTCAGTGCTAGGCACCACCACACCAATGAGGTCAGTCATCGAGCGTCACTTATCCACTTATTCAGGCAGTCTCTCGTGTGTGCCTTTGTGCCGGTCTCTCATGCAGCAACTCACCATCATCCTGGCCCACTAGAAGAGGAGGAAGACTTGACACCACTGCCGCCCAGCCTAGCCCGCCATCCGGAACAGGACCTGCACCCCGCCACCCTCCGGACGGTGATGCAGCGATACGAGGAGACGAACCAGGAGCTGCACAATTTCATCTCGCACCAAGTACGGGCCAAGGGGGAGGGCATGACACCTTGGTGATGATGCCGAGCGAAAGCGACACGAGCGGGACAAGCGACAGGCTCAAGACAGTGCTTCATGTGGTAAAATCGACCTCCGAATACGGCAACGGCGAGTACGACCAGCTTGCTATCGCACTCGCCGAAGACCCTCAACTTGTGGAACGCCTCTATGCCACGAGAAAGGACAATGAGGCCTTCACATCCCTCATCCAGCGCTCAGTATTTGTTCCACCCTGTATGAGGTTCTTCATTCCAGCATGCAGACTTCATTTACTGTCGTCTTTGTCAGCGCTCGGAGAGAGGCTTGTCAGTGACATCAGAAAACAGTCAACGCCTTAGAGACGGCCTTCAAGGAAGGTGGTCACCAGTGCAGAGCATTGTAGCCATAATAGCTGCCATATCGATTGCGTTTCTTTCTTTATGCAGATCGCGAAAAGCGAACACAGCCGAAGTTCAAGGAAGAGAAGAAAATGAAGAAAACAGCAGGGATATTCAATCCATGGAAAGATGTAAGGGAGTCAAAGGAGAAGGCATCACCTTCGAGGGACCTGCCCTGCTTTCGTGTCGAGCGCATGTAGGTATCATTTCTGGGGCTGTCGCTTTTTGTGTTCGGAACGGCTGTCATCCTGGACTCATCCATTCTTCTTGGTGACCTACTCTCCATCCTTTGTCGCTCTTGCTGATACCGTAGAGCTCAACAGCTGTCGCCCTCGCCCACACAGCGTCACGATGCCCGGTCATTGAGCGTCACTTATCAGATGGATGGATGATCCAATGCGCCATGTCTTTCATGCTTGACTTATTGATGTGTGTTCTTCCCTTTTTGCCGGTCTGCATGCAGCACGTTACCATCATCCTGGCCCACTACGTGATGGACATAGTCGACTACTTGCAGGCCAACGGCAACACAATCGGACAAGATGCGCAATGGAAGTATGCACTCAAGAAGCTCATTGCCCAGAGATTGACACATTTTGCGCATGGCTTTTGTTGCTTGGTCAGTTATGAGCGGATATTTATCAACGCGATATGCCACGTATGGCGGCCGCAACCCTGCCATGGTAGGTCTCCACTTATGGATGGGACACACAACAGTCGTCACACACAACACTGTCTATCAGAGCTGCGCTCTCGTTTATACGTGTGGTTCTGCTGCGTCGGTGTGCCCATCGCCCGCCTCATCATCGCTGCCCTGCCCCGCCAGCCACAGCTCGCCCAGGGGACGCGCAAGATCATGTGGCGTTACCTTGGCGGGGTGCTCTTCATTAGGATGGCGCAGGGCCCAGACACCCAGGTGCCGAGGAGGTTCTTCTTCCGGCAGGTGTTTGGGCTCAACAATGCGCAACGGGCGGCGATGAGGGGGGTGAATCGTCGGCGATGAGGGGGGTGAATCGTCACCTCTACGACAGTGGCATGACGGCCCAGCAGAGACGGGCAGAGACCACCAGGCTGGTCAATAGGGCGCGTCGGATGGACAACAACTTCAAGCAGCTGCTATTCCAGCAAATCATCGCCATCCGTCAGACACACACACACACACACACAGACCACGGGCAATGAGCAGGGACAATGACACTTGAATGACACAATTGTGTGTCTCACTGTGTGTGTGTGCGTGTCAGTGCCAGAACACTGCAGAGGTTGCCGAGCGCCACTACCTCTACACGAACCGCTGTGCCCTCTTCGGGCTCCGCGTGAGCCAGGCCAACGGGGGGCAGGTGCCACAGCAGTATGACCTGACCAACAAGGAGCTCAACCACATCATTGCCCCCCTCCTGGCCGCCCACCCCCTGCCGCCACCGCCCGATGACAACCCGCTCGAGCATGGCATCGAAACAGCGGTGTTGCACGAGCTGCGGTGCATACTGGGGCGGCTGCGCATCACAGACACGGCGCGGGACGTGCGACACAACATGGGCTACTAAAGGAGGGGAAACGATACCCGTAGAAGTAGTGACAAGAGGGTCGGTAGTGAGGGTTGTGGTGCCGTTGCGTAGGGTCGTCCTTTGGACGATTCCCTACATATCCCTCGTGCGTATGTTTCAACTCTTGCTCGTATGACGGAGCAAGAGACCCTTCAGGCAACTGAGAATCGGAGCAGAGGGTGGGCCTGAGGGAGGGAAAGAGGGAGAGAGGCGGACACGAATGCATTGGTTGTATTGCTGCCTACACTTTATATTTCTGGGTGTGTTTTCCTCTGAGACCGTCTCTTTGCGCAATGTCAATCGATGAGACAAATGATAGTGCAGCCAGCACATACAAAGATGACTGGTTTATGAAGACGGAGACGGCCGTCTGGCCGACCACACGCAAGTGTATATGTGTGTCATCGCTCGATCGGTGGAAAGCAAAAAATGCTCCAAGTTACTTGATGACACGTCAGACTGCGGCAGCAACACTGCTCGACGTATGCTGCGGGCACAACACACGACACATGCACACACCGACGGAAAAATGACGATCGATCAGATCAGCAATGGATTTGTGTTTTGTCAGTAAGTGCTGACCTGCCCGAGCCTGTCCCTCCATTCCCTCAGCTTCTCCTCACCACGACGGGCGTCCCTACATAATCATACAGTCACATAGTCACACAAAGGCCGATCTTTCTCTTTTGCATGTCTCTCCCTGTCTCCCCCTGTCTCCCCCTCACCGACCTCATGGCCTCGTTGAGTTGCTCAGTCCTCCTCTCCAGCACCCCCCGCACCTCCCCCAGCAGGTCATACTCCACCTTGGCATCACGCCGAGACGACTCACTCATTGACGCCTTCATGCGGCCCATGCACGACTCCATGTCCCTCTCCCACCGCCACCGATCGGCCATCAGGGCGTCCCGCTCATGTCTCAGCTCCATCTTGCGCCTCTCCAGCTTGGATGCGGCCGTCATGAGGCACTCGTCGGTGTCTCGTCGAGCAGAGGTTGACACTGAGACCGCGGCTGCTGCTGCCTGCTCGAGGGTCTCCTCGGTCGTCCGCCGCTCAGTCAAGTAGCCGGCGGGCTTCAGCAGCTGGTGCGAAGGGCGAGAGTAGCCTGCAGACAGAAGAGTGGATTGTGTATGCCGTGTACATGCAGATATTTATTAATGGTGGTGGTTGCCTCACCTGCTGCCGGGCTTCTCCTTGTGAGGGTTGTCTTGCCTATAGTGTGTGTGTAGCCCCTGTCCCTCCGTGTGGCCCAGTAGGTGGGCAGAGCCCACCGCTCGCGAGGCGACACATGCGACGCAGAATACGAGTACGCCGATGCTTGACTCACTGGCGCCGCCCGGGCGCTCCCTGAACACACACCAAAACACAGACGCACATCAGCTCGCATTCCAAAGGCCAAGTGGCCGTCCTTACCAAGCAGCAGAGGCGGTCGCCCAGTGCTCCTCTCGGACGACAGCCCGCTGACATGCAGTGGCGGCACGACCAGCAGCCGGTCACCCTCTGACCGCGTCATGGTGGGCATGGGCGGCGGTGGTTGTGTGGACGATGTCTCCAGGACAGCCGCCAGTCGAGGTGAGGGGGACGCAGGCGACCGCGAGAAGATGTACTGGGGTGAGGACGATGTTTCTGCTGCTGGCAGCTCAGGGACCAGGCGGTAGGTCGGGAACACATCAGAGGTTAGCTGAAAACAAACAAGAAAAAGCAGAGCATCATGTCACACAAATGAGGGGAGGGAGGTTTTCGGGGTGTAGTATTGACTGACGCGACCTGTCCACTGTCTTGGCCTGCTGCTGGTGCGGGCATGGATGCCGAAGCTGGCACCGGTGCGGGTGGTGGTGGTGGTGGTGGGTGCCTTGCGGGCTCAACGCTAGCGAGTTTTTCTTTCATGCGCGTGAGGTGTGTCTCCGCCTTGTACTCATCCAACTCCAGCCGCAGCGTCCTCACCAGCTGACGCAACTCATGAACCTGCACACAATGACAAGACGGATGCACACACACAATTTCCTATGAGACACAAGGCCTTCTGCGTCTGACCTCCTCCTGCAGCCTCATGTTGACGTCGATTTTGTCCGACAGTCGCCTCACGGCGGGCACGATCTCCTCCCTCATCTGCTGCATCGACCACTGCACCTCACGCTGCCACCCCACACCGCCGCCCCCCAGTGTCCCCCCAGCCATGCCCCCCAGCAGCTGCTGCACCAGCCGCACCAACTCAGCGGTGTCGGTGGTCCCCTGACCATAGGTGCCGGCTTCGGGTGCACGTGGGGTTTGGAAGCCCGGGTGCAGTGGGTAGGGCGGTATGGTGGGGGAGACGGATGGATGGAGGGGGAAGGACGGCACCCGAGGGGGGGCATCGGTGTCGGGGGAAGCGCGGCCGGTGTGTGTGGAGGACGTGGTCGTCTGCAAGAAAGTCTGCACGTGGAATGGATGGATGGCAGATACTGATTTGCTGCTCCACATAGATGAGGTTCTGTCTTTGGTACCTCTGATGCGTCAGTTGAGCTGGCCCCGGGTGCCTCCCATGCCCTCTGTGTGGTCCTGGTTGGCTCATCCTCATCACGAGACACGTAACCCTTCCCCTCATCGCCCTTATCATGCACGTGATCCTCTCGCCGAGCAGACAGCTGAACAGGAGGCTGGGCGGCGGGAGGCGCTGTACCGTCCATTGCGATTGTCATTCCTGCACACACAGGCACGCAATTGAGGAGCGCATGCAGGGACACACACGAGGTCACCACTCGCTTTCACCTGTCGATGGCCTCGAGATTGACGGCGCCATGGTGCTCTGCGCTGATGGTTGAGGAGGTGGCACATCCAGCCCCCCGACCGGCTTGGCCGTGGCATCAGGCACGGGCAATGGAATGCTGCCAGAAGGGGAAAGGTCCGGGCGAAAGGGGGCAAGAGCTGGCCGAGACACGGATGGCTGCAACACGTGGCGCGGAGACACCAGTGGCTCGTCATGATGCTCGACAGGCACTGGGGCACCAACAGTGGGAGCGATGTCCACCGGCTTGCCTGCCGACTCAGGGGGAACGTCGGGCCGCTGCTCGTCGATGGACACAGCCTGCTGAAACATGGCTGGCGGTTCGGCGGTCGATGTTGGTGGCCTCTCGCTCTCGTCTTCGGTTTCCTCGGCCTCCTCTTTCTCAGGCTCCTCTTTGATCACATCCAGCGGCTCGCTGTCGCGACGTGGCAGCTCCGCCCTGCGCATCCCCTGGTCGTGCGATGCGGTGGGCTCCCCAACTCCCTGGCCCCTGTCGGCAGACTTGCGCCGCTCATAGGCGAACAGATGTGCGATGGCCTTCTGGATGGGATCCTCTGACATGCCCTCAGCCACGCGATACACGCCGTAGTCACCCTCGGGGTCGACGCTGCTGCCACGGACTGAGGCCTCATTGCTCGTTTCTCTTGGGGTCTTCGGGGGAAGACCCTTGTCCACACCGGGTCCGTTCTCCTTCTCCCTTGGCCGAGGGCTCATTTGCGGGACTCCCCTTGGCGTCTTGAGCTCGCCTGCGATATCGCCTTGGGTTTTCGTGGCGTCAGGGTGTTGCGTCTTGGCTGTTGGCAAGACGGGTACTGACGCCATGGCCTTTCTAGCCGGGTCCTCGTCAGGCGGAAGCGGCTCGTCGCTCTCGTCCGACTCATAGCTGCTCCAGGAGTCTGTCTCCTCCGGCTTGCCTCTCCGGTACCCCTTGGAGGCCGCCCCCTTTCCGCCCTCAGCCCTGCCCCTGCCCAGCTGGAATATGTCATTCAGGACCTCGCGAGCCAGCCTCTCGTCCTCTGCATTCCCCCTCTTGCTCGACGCAGCGCTCTTGTCTGCCGGTGTCTCTTCCTCCTCTCTGGGTGACGACTTGAGCAGCCAGTCGTCAGGTTTGCCGAAAAGCGTGCCTTGCTTGGACTGAACTGGTAGCCGCAGGTCTGGGAGAGGCGGCTTTCCACCGCCCCGGCCGCTGCTCGCCCCTGACGCACTGCTGTCGGCGTCTTTGGGTGTCTCCTTGCCGCCCTGCTGCCTGGCTTTCTTGCTCTTCTTCTTTCTGTCGCCCTTGTCTCTGTCTTTGCTCTTCCTGGTTGCCGCGTCCCCCCTGTCTGGCTCCCCCTTGGCTTTGGCTCTCTTGGCCTTGTAGTCCTGCAGCAGCTTGCGGTAGTATGCGTCACATGGATGGTCCCACTGCAGGCCGTCACACACAAGATAAGATACACACGTGCGCACAGCCACACAATCTCCAGGGCGTGTCTATCGGCCCGTCTCCATGACTAGCTGCGCGTGTGAATGTGTGTGGGCTGCCTGACCTGGCTCTCGTGTGTTCGGTAGTTGAAGTAGAAGATCTCTCCGCCCTTGCTGGTCTGGCATGGCTTCCATTCGGCCGGGAGTGGCGCCTTGAGGGCCTCCTTGGCAATCCAAAGCAGGTCTTTGTCCTCCTCCTTGTCCATGCCCAGCCACTCGGCATACTCGAGGATCTCCTCCTGAGACGGCTCGTAGTCCTCATCTATCTCCTCTGAATGCATGACAATGCAACACACACACACGCACGCACAAAGAGAGACGGCACTCGCACTGGCCAAATGAGGAGGCTCTCTCCTCGTGCCACTGCGTGTCCTCCCACCCTCCAGTTCGATGATGTCGTTGGCATTGGCATTGGCACCGTTCGGCAGAGACGCCATCGTCAACTGAGCTCTAGTGAATGTCTTCCAGCACTGAATGAACTTTCGCGACGCGACAACTTGAAGACTGGGGGCGCCCCCCGGTTCCGGAGTCACTCCGAGTCGTGTGTGTCGACTGCCGTTGAGATGAAGCATGAATGGCGCATGGAATGCAAGGTTTTATCCCATCAGGATCTCAGTGGTCCGACCTAAATGGTGCATGCCGCCGTCGCACCACAAATACATGTACAGCCACCAGCAGATATCACTCCCCAATCCCCACCAAAGGACCCACCGCGGCACCAAAACTGCCTGCAGGCATCTGACTGGATGATCTCTCCCTCCCTCCCTCTCCTCAGCCAACCAAGCGCACAGGCAGAGGACCAAAAAGACGCCTCTGTGCCAAACTGCCTGCCCCGCCCCTCGCACTGGCAGACAGGCTGGGCTTCAGGTCACTCCATCCCCCCCATGCCTCCCGAGACGGCCGGCGGCGTGCGGCTATCATCGCCCACAGCCCATAGCCTGTAGTCAGCACGTAGCCGGCCGAGGAATGCAGGGACCAGCCGATTGAGTGTCTTCTGCAGACACCAGGTGCCTGCTCGCAGCACCACTTCGGGCGGGACGAGGCTCGAGTTGCTGATGGTGAACGAGACCTCCAGCCGTGTTTCGCAGTTAACAATAGGGTTCTCCTTGCCTGTCCGCTTGCACTTCACCCGGTCGGCCGAGATGGTGGACAGGTTGGAGGAGCGTATGGTAACGCTGTTGAGAGCCCTCTGTGCAGACGACAGCATCCCGGCACTCAATGCCTCACTGCCCTTCATGCCGATGCGCCCATCCACCACTCGGATTAGGGATGAGGGGACGGAGGCATCCACATCGACGATTGCAAGCATCTCTGGCGCCACCTTGAGGGAGAGGAAGGTCAAGGGCTGCATCGTGTAGATGAAAGCCGTCGCGTTGATACGGGTGATTGCTTGAGGGTCGAGGACAGAGTATTCCTCGGCAGGTAGAGAAAGGTACTCTGAGCAGGCAGGCACACACACACACACACGAATGGCAGTACATGAGGCAGACAGTCAGTGTGCCTTCCTTCGTCCCTCACCCCGAAGACTCCTCTCCCCCTCGTTCTCCTCGAATGCAAGGCTCCCTTTCCTCTCGGCATACAGTGTCAGCCGCGTGCCTTCTGTCGTAGGCACTAATGAAGAGGCAGCAGGTGGAGCTGCAGCGACCACCTCCTCTTCGGTCGCTGTGGTGGCCATGCCCTTCAGCGATGAGTCAGACGCATCGGAGGCGGGCGCGAACGGCAGCCGACGAAGAAGCCGTGCCCGCCTTTTCTCCGAATCACCAGCGTGGGCATGCACACGGGAAGGGCCAGAATGTCGTCGCTTCGTTGGACCAGACGGAGCGATGAACGGTAAGTGCGGCAGCGGTGTCATGCTGAATGCGGGAGGATGCGGAGTTGATCTTGCTGCCGTCGTTGAAGGATGTACCAACCTCCCATGAAGCGCTGTGCACTGCCACCACGTTGACGCTGAGAGCGCCGCCGAAAGGAACGATAAAAGCCATCTTTGATGTGTCCTCTCAGCGGTGCTGCTTGTGGCCATGGTGTGAGTCGCAGCGGTTTCAGGGAGCAGGGTTTCGGTGAAACAGAAAGTTAAACGGTCGAAGAAAGTCGAAGAAACCAGTGCATATCTGTGGCTTTTGCGTAGGGGTGATTGTATATATGCGTGTGTCTCTGTGAATTTTCTGTCACACGCACACACCGAGCATGCCTCCTGTGTGTTTGCTGTCATCGTGTGTCTGTCTTGTTTGTTTGCCTGCAGCTCGTTTGGCTTGGTGTCTGTCGTGGTGGTGTGTATCATGCTCTGGGGGGGTGGTCTAAGACCACAGACGGAGAAGTCTTTTCGTTTTTACACGCGGATGCATCGATCCCATATCTTCCCTGATGTCCCCTTACTGCCCTCCTGACTGCCGTGCCCGCCTGCATGGATGTGCCCGTCTGCAAGGATGTGGTGTAATATGCCACCCTTGTCGTGTGCTGCCTGCCTCAGACACATTCATTCCATCAGATTGCCCGGCTGCCTGTCTGCTCTGACTGATACAGTGATGCATGTGTTGTGTGTGTTGGCTGGCTGTGCGCATGGTTGGCGCTGTACGGACGGACCAGAACTGCGTGGATGCCTTCATCAATCATCCCTGTCAATGCCTCTGTCTCTGTCTCTGTCTGTCTATCTGTCTGTCTGTCTTTTGTCCGGCGTCCATCCTTGCCAGACACTCCCCAAACACCAAGACTGAATGCACACCCAGGTGGTGTAGCCTCGCAGCCATCCAGCCATCTTGCACGTCCATCCTCAACAAACTCACACATTGCATTGCATTGCATTCACCCACCCACACACGCACGGGACTCAGGCTTATCGATTGATTCACTCACGAGCCGACAAGCTGCACACCCACCAGCCCACCCCCTCCCCTTCCACTACCACACCACATTTAATGATGTATTGGTTGTACTTATGAGTACGTCATTCACTCACTCCACAGCACAGCACGGCACGGAACGGAACGGCATGCATCGCATTCACTCGGTGGCCGTCCGTCATGTGTGTGCCATTCCATCACTGCGGCAGCCCCGACAGCACATCCATGAACCTGACACCACACAGCACAACACATCAATCACAACACACACACACAGACAGAGAGAGAGAGAGAAAGAGAGAGGCGAGAGTGGTTCTCGGTAAGGTATGGTTGTCACTGTATGGCTTGATGGACTCCATACCTTCGTCAATCCATGTATGTGAACGACATTTGGTTGGGTGGACGACAGGGGGAGGTCTGAGCATAGATCTATTGTGTCTGAGAACAGGTGCATTGACTGACGCAGGTGGCGCCACTACGCGCATACAGCACCACAGTCCATAGCCCACAGCTCTCCTCACATACATGTATAATTGCATGTGCGTGTGTCGCCCACTCAAAGAGGGAATTCCATCTCGATGTCTGTGTTGAGGTGCAGATTCTTAAATAGGGAAAAATCACATGCACGCACGCAAACTCACTACTTGTAAAAGACTCTCTTGACAGCAGAAGACTCAGCGTGTAGCTGTCAGCGTCCTGGGAAAACAGGAAGTGTCGGATCGATTTTGGTATCGATCCCAATCACTTTCACCCCGTAAGGCAGCGAGGGCATGCAATTGCCGTCATGATCGAAAGGAATAAGTTCCTGCAAGAAACAAAGGAGAGGAAATATAGCAACAAAGGTATTCTCTTTGCTACGCATTCAATGCGCACCCATTCACAAGGCCCGGAGTAACATGACACCTGAAAGAAGAGCACGCATAGCATTCTTTTCCGCCTTAGAGTGGCATTGAAGCGATCGCTCACACCAAAGGAAAAACTCCCTCCAAAAGCACAGACATCAACCACCACCACATCCTCGTAACTATCTATTATACCATCACTTTTTTTATCGCTAATGACGCCGTCCCTGTACGGATGCATCATTCAGTCTATTGCACACCAACTGCTACCTTTCCTTACCCTGTGGACGGGTTGTATACGAATAAGTCACTATCACCCATAGTGAGTGAATCCAAAGCCACGATGACGAAGCAAGCAGGAAAAGGACCAGATATACTATCAATGCTCGTCGGGTTCCCCGCTTCCAGCGAGCCGTTGATTGGGCCCAAAAGGGAACCTGCACGTATTCCAAGCAGGCATGTGTGCAGTAGTGTATTTCCTGCGCTTGCCTGGGCACGGTCTCGGCAGACGACCTCCTGGAGGCGCCGGAGGAGAAGGGAGAAGCGGGAGAGCCTCTAAGTCGATAGTCTCACTCACACCGAACACCTTCCCATCGACTGCTCTTGGAATGCAATCGCCAGTGTGCTCAAATACAACCAACTTGGCATTGCATGGGCCATTGACACACAAGGCCTGGAGGACAGGCAGGGCACGAAGAAGCCAGCCAGTTTCGTGTGACTCTTTTGCTTCTATCGTCATATACCTGTATGCCGATGCCGTCAGCAGCTCCATTGATGTTTCGTGTCAGCACTACGACGACCAACTCGAAGGTACCAGATGTAAAATCAGATACGGCTTCGACAGTCACTCTTTCCCTGCAGCACATGTGTATTAATCATGACACAGGAAGCCTCTTTCTTTTTTAGCAGGTCACGGATTACTCCCCAATGACACGATTGCCGAATATTAAGAGATCCACAACTGATAGGGTGGCAACCCCATCCTCTCCGGCGTCTAGCGCCACAACAATGAAGGGACTGATAGATCGAGCATTCCATATGACGTGGGGATGTAGACCGGTGGGGAGCCGCAGGTCCTGCAGTGTTGAGAGATTGCCCGCTGCTTCGAAGAGCAGCGGCTCTAAAAAGGGAAGAGGAAAAGGTAACCGTCCCTTGCTACAAGGCCCTGTCTGCTTCCTTGAAGCTACCTGGACAGAAATCATCTCTCCCGGGCAGCGGTGTAGAAGCCGGAGGCCGGGGGGGTCTCGCAATGGACGTGTTGTCAGGACTTGGGTCGAAAACAGGCCGTGGTGCCCTCTCCGGCAGCACTGATACACATTCACGGACACACAAGAAATAAGTGGTGTTCTTAGCCGATGTTTCCCTATGTTTCCTTACAGCAGTCGATTGCCACAGGACAGAGGGCGTCTACCTTTCCCGTCTCCCCATTCGCTCTTCTAAAGCCAACACTCAACGGCACAGTACGAATCAGATAATTCTGAATGTCATGGTCGATGTACGCCGTGTCGGCGTACACGAGGTGTCCACCCTCTCTGTTCGACATTGTCAGCCGAAAAATCTCCGATGCTTCGCTGATGTTGCACGACAAATCAAAGCCCGGAGGGGCGGTGAGATTGGCAATGTAGTCAAAGCCAGCGCCTGATGACACCACAGTTGCGATGGAGTTGACAAGTTCATCATCAGCAGCCCTCGATCCATGGTCTGCCACGAGCTGCAGCCGCTTCGCAGGTTGGCACTGAATCAAAACTGGAGCGTACACATTCACGCAGGCAAATACAGTGGCAGAGAAACACGATCGCTTGCATGCTCGTGTGGCCTGCTCACTCTTGTTGGTCTCGTCGCAGAAGTTGGTAAGGTTGCCGAGTAATACAGACGAACTCAGGCTAAATATGTCGCCTTCGATATTCGAGTCAATGTGCAAGAAAGACTTAAGCCCAAGCTCATCATCGTTCAGCAGTGGAGCACCAAAAGACTCGGACTGGATCTCCTGCAAAATACGCATATGCAAGAGTAACAAAAAAAGTCCCTGCAATCAGTGCACACACATACACGGCCTACCTGGAGATCACCGTTAAATCGAGACACATCAAAGTATGAGATCTTTGTTTTTGTTTGGCCGTCCGGATGAAAGACAAGATCCTTCGTTGAGACCTTTCTGGACTTGTTTGCGTTGAAGCATGCTTCAATCGTCGCTTCTTCAGCAAGACTCAGTAGAGTGTATTCCACCTTCATCAGCCGCACGCTTGAAGTCAGCAGCGCCTCTGGAATGCCGAAATGAAGCCCCTCTTGCCCCTCTTGCCCCCGTGCAAATATCAAATCATCGAGCTGAGTGTTGACCTCATCTCCAAAGTAACCCCGGCCTTCTTGTGGCTGTATGAAGTTGTTTTGAAAGCCCACTCCAACAAGAAGATCGCCTGCATCAAATCACGGCACAGCAGAGACGGTTTCCTGCCGTCACCCACGCTATCCGCTACCTTCGACAAAGACAATGCTGCCTGTTCTACCAGAAGAAAACAGAGGATAAGCTGATCCACATATATTTGAATCATCGTACGGCTTAAGTACCTGCGCATTCAGGGGGATAGACTTGCCAGACCGCCCCTTTGATGAAGACATTCGCCAACGCCAAGGGCTCAAAGAAGCCATGGGTGATTCTGCTATCGAGTGCTGCTGAATCGTACTCGACCTTCACTTGCACGCCGATGCCCGTCCCTTGGTCGGGCGCGCAGCTATAGATCTTCTCATCGACGGTCCTCGTGCAGCTTGAATCAGTAAAGCGATTGTCAGTACATCCTCTCGTATCGTAACGAGAATCGAACAGAGGAAGAGGTCCAGAAGAATAACGAGCTGGTTCCATTGTGCCAGATGTAATAGTCCACTCTGACGTTGCAGTTCTGAAGGGTGCATCGAGAAGCTGATACGTCCTATTCTGCACTGCCGCGGGGCTGGAGACCGGCAACCTGGGCTCGGGACACGCTGCAAAGCATTCGAAGCCGATCTCGCAGGTCGTGTCCAAGATGACCTCCTCGCTGGCCCGATTGCCCTCCTCTTGTCTCTCGTACACCAACACCGTCGCGCTGATTTCTCTCTGCTTGGTCTCTGTCACACCGATGCAGTTGTGCTGTTGGAGATTAGCAACAATCCCCTCATCTCTCAGTGACGTCGTGGTGGATCCACCTTCTCCGTCTTTGATCAGCACGTCCACGAACACGTTGTCTCCGAGCGCCCACACCTTAGGATCGACTCCAACAGCAGCGATCGAGCCTGCTGTGAGGCCGCCAGGGATTTGATATGTGTCGGCGAAGCCAACTGGGAGAGTCTGCAGCACACGGCGTCGGCACTCAACATAAACTGAGCATGAACAAACAAAAAAAACGATTGCAAACGGATGGCTCCAGAAGGGTGTTTTCTCTGTCTCACCGCCTGCATCCTGGTCGAGTAAGGAGCCCAGTTGTGCCTTGAGGATGAGATCGAGAGAGCTGCCCGTCTCCAGATTCTCCAGCTTGAATGTCACCGGTAGAACCGTCACGTTCTCGGCACATAAGATCTGGACATAGCTTATAGGCCGACTGATGTCGGCTTGAACAGATATGAAATCAAACACTCTTCTCCACAAGAAGATCTTCGACTGCTCTCGGTCTCGGTCAGTAACGCCGAACTCGTCCGCAATCTCATCGGGGTTAAATTCCCTGGTCACCGAATAGCGTGCCACCCTTCGCGCATTGAACAGGGGGAAGAACGGGCTTGGGCCTGTCTTGAAAAGCGGGAACCACAGAGAGGGTGCCTCGATGCCGACCAATGCACGAGAAGGGTCCACACCTATCGCCGCTTGCTCAGTCACCAGCCGCTCCTGCTCTGCGGAAATGCGATCCTCTTCAGCCGCCTCGCGGCAGACCTCGTTGAAATCGGCAGACTTGCCAGAGCCTATCTCGACCTCAAACACTTTCTGCATGCAGCAGACAAAACCAGAAAGGGGATCGCAATGCAGGTGCTGTCCCTCGCTTCTACGTGTTTACCTTTGAGACTACAGTGTCGTTCTGATCGTAACTGTATCCGGATGCAGTGGCCGCGATCACCCCGCCTGCCGCCACGTCGCCCGATGTGATCGTGAAGATGCGCTGCTTGAGCAGGGAAGGGCAGCCGGCGGGCACCGTGCTGGGAAACGTGAGCAGCCCCAAGTCAGAGTTGGCGGCTGGACTGACCAGAGCAATGCCACGTGTGGTAATGAGCTCTGTCTCTTCTCCTTCAGCAAAGATCGTGATTCGCTGCTCGGCTGTGTAGTTGGCGGAGCGAGCTCGACCAGAGATCGCTTCATCGACCAATCCGGTGCTGCACACAAACAGAGACACAGGCAAGAAACATGCAGTGAGCCCTATGAATGCCTCAGGCTGTCTTTGCATTCACGCTGTCAGCTCGATCTGCGCCTCAAGGCCGACGCAGTCGGCCTCACTGGCGTTGACCACCTTCAACACGCCCTGAATCACAAGCTGATCGACGCACACACATCAGGCAATCGACGCACGCGCATCAGGCGCATGAAGATGGTGCCGACCCATCTCTTCTCTCCATCATGTCTCCCACTTACGAGTGCAGGTTTGAATACGTTGCCATCTCGCACCGAGCAGAGGCCCACGTCAGGACAGTCGAAAGGGAGGATGGCAGACACACCCTCAGTCGTGTTGCATGACAGATCGATGGAGAAGTCCTCGTCGGAGTCCTCCATTCTTCCCTGGATGCGCAGGCAGCTGTCCGTGTCGCCCACATTCTCAATCGCATCCGCCCAAGCATCCGACTTGACGTCTTCCATCAGATAAGTCCCAGGCACGAGTTGCGAAAACGCTCTTGGGTTCTTGTTGTGGTCGCCCATTGCGAGCGATGCAGGGTCGACGCCGCTCGTGTCGGCAATCTCCACGACCTCGAGAGCATCGTAGCAGTCGAGGTTGGGCGCGAAGGGATTGACTGGGTTGATGCAGGGGTCGAGGGAAGGCGGGAAACAGAGAGAGGATGGCTGGCCTTGAAGAACGCCTCTGACCAGCGATGGAGTGCCTTCGGGCTGACGACTCAGCTCACCATTAGCAAATGCACATGCAATTGTTGGGATTGGATGTGGCATTGTGGCTCTTCGCGCCTGTTTCATCAGCAAGGCAGAAGCAGAAGCGCTGGTCGCTGGAGCGTGCACAGATTGGTCGGTCCGGCGGGCAGACAGAAAGAGCAGCCGTGCCGCCGTTGCCATCCACAGCACCGCAGAGAATGCCCTCCCCAGTAGCGCTCACAGGAACACCGAGGGCGTTCTTCTGTGCTGTTCGCAGTCGTCTCTTCAGGTCATCCTCTGCAAAGGGAAGACATAGGGATGTGAATGAAGCGGTTCGTGACTTCACTTACCAGCCACGCACTGCCCCAAAGCCCTCTCTTCGCCTTCGTCATCTCTGAAGTACAGCAGGGGGTGTGGGGAACACGTCGACAGCTTCAGGCCAGCCGGCGGCACCTCTGTAATGACACACACACACACACACGCATACAACGACACACACGCATGTCCCGTTTTATGTCGGTGCTTCACTAACCCACCGGGAAGGCAGTCCCGCTGAAGCTGTTCTCGTGGCTCCCTCTGCTTTGCGATTGTTGCCAAATACGCAGGCGGCTGTGAACTGTGCGTCGACGGCCACGCGAAGTTCAAGAAGCCATGCGCGTAGAAATGCGAAGAGGCACGTGCTCACGAGAGTCAATCTAAATCGACTCGGCATCACGGAGGAGAGATAGACACTGATCTCATGCGCACAGTGATTACGTAGACGACAGGCAGGAGAAAAGAGGGAAGAAAACGGTTTTACCTAACCGCTAACGGTCTGCCCTATGCATTGCATATCCTCCTGTCTGCTGCATCTGCCCTCTGCGTGCTGCGTGTTTCGTGTCCGGGTTGCATGTTAGGGTGCCTGTTTCATGTTGGACAGACCGACAGGGGACTTGGCCGTCAGGCCACCTAGGATGCTCCCTGAAACCGCTGCTGCTGATGGGGTGGATGGCGCGTGAGATCACTGAGGGTCTGTGAACATCCACCGCGATCGTGTGTCTGTCTTGTTTGTTTGCCTGCTGCTCGTTTGGCTTGGTGTCTGTCGTGGTGGTGTGTATCATGCTCTGGGGGGGGTGGTCTAAGACCACACGTGTACAATGAACGGCTGTACGCTACGATGCTCGCAGCTTCGCAGCTGTGTCAACTTTTCGTCCTCGTCGCATCAAGTTGCTGGGCTCGTCGAGCAGCGGCGAACCCACCACAGCTTTTCCCTTTCCCACCCCCAAGCGAGAAGATCGATGAGCTCTCGAAGCCCACTGGTGGCAACGTGCCACCCACGAAGGAGGGTCTCATCGGCGCGCCCGCCGTCAACAACAGCACAGGAGCCGCACTGCGGCAATACGCCACCTTCCAGTGCGGTAGGCGAACGATTCCCCGTGCTTGATGTATGTGTGCTCATTGCGTGCGTGTGCTGCCTGAGGCTTCAGGGGACGACCCATCTCTTGGGGCTGCCGACCTGCAAGCTGACAATGCGCTCCTGCAGGGATACGGTGAGGGCGCCTGCATCACCAAATAAAGTGCACACGGAGTACACATGGCTGGTTGTGTGTGTCCGTGTGTCTGCAGGCATGTTGGGGTGTGGTACTGACTTTCCTCTGTACGAGATATACGCTGGAGGCCTCTTCAGCCAGTTCTATGGCGCGCTGAGCGACGGCAGGTACAAGACACGCGTCAGCAAGGAGACTGCCCAGGGGGGAATGGCAGCGATGGAAGCCATCAAGAAGATTGACTTCTACAGCTTCCAATGGAAAAACGACGACGGAAGAACGCAGGATGAGACGCACAGGGGAAGACGCATCCCTTACGCAGGACAGCGGCAATTTGGTCAGTGACGCCTATCGCCTGATGAGCAAAGAGAGCTTAGTGGGCCTATCTGCCTGTCTGTCAGGCGTCCTGGCGGAGGAAGTGAGAAGTGTTTGGCCTGAGGCGGTGTTCGAGAGCAGCGTTGACCGCGGCCACGACAACAAGGCGCTGTACGTCAACCTGCCCACCGTGCTGTACAAGACCATACACGCCACCCAACACGTGGCGGAGAGGATAGAGGCGCAGGAGAGCCAGGCAGCTGACGTGCAGGCAGCGATAAGTGAGATGAGGCAGGAGTTGGCCGAGCTGACAAGAGACGTTCGAGACATGAAGGCACTGGCCACTGCCGTCCTGATTGACCGATATGAGAGCAATGGGCGGACTGATGGCAGTGAGCCACGTCTGTTTGATGAGCTTCAAGAGTACATGGCCCGTCTGGCGAGAAACGACTGACTAATTAGACACGTGACGATTATTGAAATGGTGTCCTTCCATCGTCCATTTATACACCTGTCTATCTAGCTTCTACATAGCCATGCCTGCATATCTATCGATAAGCACCCTGGGCTAGACATTGCACATGACGATCGGCCGGGACGTCTGTGTGCGTGTGGTGTGTGTGTGTGTGTGGTGGTGTGCACATACGTGTGCAGCGGACATACAGACGAACCAGAGCGGTCTATTATGTAATGGACGACTCACCCGTCAGCCAACCCCGTCATTACACCATTCATGCTCACCACATGCATACATACATACAGAGGAGAGATAGACACTGATCTCATGCGCATAGTGACTACGTATACGACTGGCATCGGATAGGCTTCGAAGCGTACAGAGAGAGCGGTTTTCCACCAGGTAGAGCATTAACGGTTTGCCCTCCGTATGGGCCATATGGGTGGAGGAGTCTGGGAGCAGGATGTCTGCTCTCATCCACCGCGATCGTGTGTCTGTCTTGTTTGTTTGCCTGCTGCTCGTTTGGCTTGGTGTCTGTCGTGGTGGTGTGTATCATGCTCTGGGGGGGGTGGTCTAAGACCACAGACGGAGAAGTCTTTTCGTTTTTACACGCGGATGTATCGATCCCATCTCTTCCCTGATGTCCCCTTACTGCCCTCCTGACTGCCGTGCCCGCCTGCATGGATGTGCCCGTCTGCAAGGATGTGGTGTAATATGCCACCCTTGTCGTGTGCTGCCTGCCTCAGACACATTCATTCCATCAGATTGCCCGCCTGCCTGTCTGCTCTGACAGATACAGTGATGCATGTGTTGTGTGTGTTGGCTGTACGCATGATTGGTGCTGTATGGACCAGAGTGCGTGGATGCCCTCATCAATCGCTGTCATTATTCATTTCTATGCCTCTCTGTCTGTCTGTCTGTCCGTCCGGCGCACATCGTTGCCAGACACTCCCCCTCCATCCCACGCCACCCCACCCCACCCCCCAAACACAACACAATGAGTGAATGCACACCCGTGCAGCCGTTCATCGTCAACAAACTCACACATGACCAACTCAGCCTCATTCATTCACTCATGATCCGACCAGCTGCACCCCACCACCCCCTTTCCCCCCCGGGACCCACCCCACTACCACACCACAATCTGTACGTCATTCATTCACTCACTCCACAGCACGCACTGCATTGCATTCACTCGGTGGCCGCCACGCCATGTGTGTACAGACCTCTCACTCACTGCGGCAGCCCCGACAGCACATCCATGAACCTGACATCACATAACACAACACATCAATCACAACACACAGGAGCAGACGCGAGAACGAGATACTGCGTGTGCGTGTGTGTGTGTGAGTGTGTCTCTCACTGACAGCATGAGGTCTTCATTCCTGACGCCAAAGGAAGCCTTGAGGACGTCATAGAGGAAGAACTGTCCGGCGATGATGGACCCCGCCCACACGCAGCGGCTGCCGAGGCCAAAGAAGAAGCCCTGCGGCCCCCACTTGTCAAAAATGTCCCTCACCACCTCAAAGGCGCTCTCCCTCCCGCCTCTCTGGTTGATGCGCGACAAAATCGTGTCGGCCGGCTGCGACACAATCGAGCTGGCCACCCCGGCCACCAGCCCCGAGAAGGCCGACACAGACAGGCTCATGGCCGTGGTGTCGTCCAATGCCGGAAACACATCGAAGAGGAACTCAGCAAACGAGTCGAACACAAAGAACTTCATCATGCCAAAGACCACCTGCCGGATGAGCAGCGGCCAGAAGCCGTCATAGAGCTTCAACAGGCCGTCCTCTCGGGTCAGCCGCTGGACGGCGGGGAGGAACCCCGAGGCGTAATTGGGGTCAGCCACCATCCGGATGCGCACCGCCTCACACGGACAGACGCCCACAGCAGCGAAGACCGTCGCCACCGCACCGGCCATCAGCACCAGCGGCACTCGGAACTCGATGGCACCCGCAGGGCCGGCCAGCGAAGCGAACAGCCGCTTGAAGAACTCATAGCCAGGGTACACCGTGATGCCGTACCAGAGGTAGCCCAGGATGGTGGCCTGGGCCCCCTGCAGCAGCATGCGCCAGCCCTCCTCTTTCCCCAGGGTGATGGCGCCCTGCATCAGACCCATAGAGTCAAATCGTTCCGGGTCGGTCTGCCGCTTCGTCTTGACCACATCCAGGGGGATCACGGCTGCGTGCGTCGCCGAACACGCAAACGCACCAGCAGTGGCGAACAGTGCGTAGGTCGACCAGTCAAGCGGCTTCTCGCGAGTCACGGGGAAGGGCCCCCGCGGCCCAAACAGCGTCAGGACAGGCTGGTCCAGGTTGACGGAGCCGTCACGGCGCAGCTGGTAGCTGAGGAGCATCTTGGGGTCGGCCAGCAGGCCGCTCACACGATACCGCTGCAGCTCGAGGTCGAAGATGGGGTTGACGCCTCCGGGGAGCAGCGCGACTGGGTCTGAGAGGAAGAAGCCCTCCTCCTCCTTCATGCTGGCAAAAACCGGCGAGGGGATGCCCGCGGGGGAGGGCGAGAAGGCGAACGTTGGACGGGTCGGGAGGGCACGGGACAGCACCTGCAGTCACGCACGCATGATGAACAAGACACCAGACGCACGATGGATGCATGAGAGCCTCCCTCGCTGACTGACCGTGATAGCGTTGATGGGCTGGTACTGGCTGAGTAGGGAGAAGAGGAGGGCCAGCTGCCGTCGCGACTCGGGGATCTGCCGGTTACCGTACCGCCGGATCATGACGTTGAGCAGGTTGTTGACACCCGCCTGGCCCCGGTAACGCCGCAAGCCATACTCGACAGACGACGAGAACTCCCCAAAACTCTTGAGCAGAATCCTGGTCCGCTCAGAGGGGTCCGCCACGGCCTGTGTGGTGAGCCGCTGCTGCCGCCACCAGGCAGCACACGTGTCATCGTAGTTTAGGAGGAACCGCGCCATGTATGTGACGAAGGAGGGAGAGTAGGTGTCGGAGGCCACGTAGAGCACGTCGGCCCCCTTGACCGAGTCGAAGACCTTGCGCCAGGTCATGCCCTCACTCGTCAGCTCGGGGAAGAACTCAGGGAGCGGCTGCTCGACGGCCTCGATGCCCTTCGGCGCACGCCGCACCTCCGCAGCGGCCAGCCGACTGATCTCATTCAGCTCCTCCATAGCTGCACAATCATGGAGAAGAAGAGAAAGAGCGATGTGTCACTCGCAAGGAGAATGCTCATGCCTGCCTGGTCTGATGCGTGTGTGGTTGCTCACAGATGAAGGGGCAGGCAGACTCGGCCGACGATACACACACATCCTTGTCGCTGTTCGATGAGGAAGAGGTGAGGAGCTCGCCCGAGGCCTGTGCTGATGCCGCTGATGCGGCTGTGGGCTGCATGGCCATGAGTGCTGCCGTGACGGCCAGAGAGGATGACATCAGCGCTTCGAGCATCGCTCGACGGTTGCTCTTGTCGACCACCGGTGGGGACTGTCCAGCCACAGCACACACACAGAAGAACAGACAACACACAGACAAACAGACAGACACAGTGAAAGCCTTTTGGTATGGATGTGATGTACACGCGTCTGTCTGTCTGTCCCATCTTTCTCACCTGATGTGCTTGTCTTCTGGGCCGGTCTGTGGTCATGGCAGCGGCAGATCTCCGCCTGTAGATCAGCTTCCTCATCTGCTCCCGCCTCGGCCACCTGGTCGGCCGGCCGCCTGTCGTTGCGACGAAGCCCAGAGGCGAAGATGCACGCCCATGCGCCGAGATGGGCGTCGTCAGCAGGCGACAGAGCCATCCCACGAGGCACATTGCGCATGTGGCCTTCCTCCTCCATTTCCAAGTCAGAATGACCATTGAGCTGGGGACCGAGGAGGGAGGGGAGCGGAACTTCAGTAAGCAGCAGCAGCGGTTTGAGAGGAGGAAAACCTGCGAGCTCAAAAAGGGAAAGAAGGGAAGAGTCGCAGAAGGCCACGGGTGCAGCGTTGGACGGACGAGAATACGAATCAGCTTGTGCAATCGCCTTGCTCCCTCCCTCAGCCAATTGATCAGCCAGCCCACAGAGGGAGCAGATTGCGCTTTAGACGGCGAGGAGGATGTCAGCGCAGGCGTTTCACTCGTGGGGCGAGGTCTTCTACCACATCAACCCCTACTCGTGGGCGGCAATCGGCATCGCCCTCTCCCTCGGCCTCTCGGTCCTCGGAGCTGCATGGTATGTGCGGTGCGGTGGGTGGTAGCCACACACGCACCCACCGCACAGACGCATACATAGTGGCACACTGCCCGTCTGCACACACATTCTCACTGCTCCCCTGTCTGTCTGTCTGTCTGTCTGGTGTGTGTCTTGCTTGACTGACTGCACTGTCATGTCAGGGGCATATTTCTGACGGGTTCGTCTCTGGTGGGTGCGTCCATCAAGGCGCCCCGCATCCGGTCCAAGAACCTCATTAGCGTCATCTTTTGCGAGGCCGTGGCCATCTATGGGGTGATCATTGCCATCATCATGGTCAACAAGATGCAAGGGCTCTCGGAATCCGCACCTGGCATATACCCGCCGGAGGCCATCGCTGCGGGATACTGCCTCTTTTGGGTCGGCATCACTGTCGGCGGATCGAACCTTTCGTGCGGGTGGGTGGGCAGTGGGTGGATGGGAGGATGGGTGGGCAGGCAGACGGCTGAATGGTCCGATTGGGGTGTGTATGTGTGTGTGTGCGTGTGCAGGATAGCAGTGGGTGTGAGCGGCAGTGGGTGTGCTCTTGGCGACGCGCAGAACCCCACGCTGTTCGTCAAGATGCTCATTGTCGAAATCTTTGGGAGCGCACTCGGTCAGCCGGCCTGCCTGCAGACAGACAATGAAGTCATTGTAGCCAACCAACAGGCGCCAACGTGGCTGTCTGTCTCGTGTGTTTAATGTGTTTTGTGTGCAGGTTTGTTTGGCGTGATTGTCGGCATCATCCAGGCCAATGCGGGCAATTTCCCCAAGCAAACATGACACACACTAGACAGACAGCTGGCGAACGACGTTCTGCCTGCTTGGCTGTCGATTCGTTCGTTCCTTGGATGGACAGACAGATGGGGTGTGTACAGGTGCCTGTCTGTCTGTCTGTCTGTCGTATAGCTAGCGGCGCGACCCTACTGACTGACTTCTATGCACAAACTTTTGTGCGTGTCGATGGATGGATCAACACTCTCTCTCTACCGGCGCGCCGACTCACTCACTCCGTCACTCAGCCACTCACTATAAGAGTTACCTGAGATGAGATGACCTGTTTGTGTGGTGTGTGTGTTTTGCTTGCACCACTTCCTTGAATGGCTGGTGTGTGTGGTGTGGTATCTGTGTGTCTGTGGCTGCCAGTCTGTCTGTATGCACCCATCCACCCTCTCTGTCACGACTGATGGCTCCGTCCTCCCTGCCGCCTGTGGCCAACACAGCACAGGCGTCAAATGAACGAAGGTGTCCTTCGCGAGGGAGAGGGGAGGGGAGGGGGACGCCTCCAGATGCGCTCATCCACTCACCCCGCTGCCCACTCACTATACACAGGCAACCGGACAACAGGAGACACTAGCTTAGCTTAGCGGTGGGTTGGTGGGTTGATATGACGTGATGCGGCCCCTTTGGTTCGCTCCGTGTGTGTGAGTGAATGCGTGACAGTTACTGGATGGTTGTCCATCCAGACATCCATCCATCCATCCAGACATCCATGTAGTTTAAGTAACTAGCTAACTCTCGATGTGTCTGTCCACCAGCTCTTTCAAAAAAATCATCGGTTTGCAATTGTCCATCCACTCCATCCATGTAAGCAGATACCCATGTGGCGGCCAGGAGTGGCAGGATGGCGATAAGGCACATGCTGCTAGTTTAGTGCGTGAGACAGCAGGATCCCTCCGGGGTTACAGACACGAGTCTCGTTAGACACAATAACCAACCAACCAAAGCCCACCGACAGGGCGGCAGCACCGCTCAAACGCATCATGGCGGCTCGGCTAAGGCTCCACAAATCTCCAGACGGGGGAAGACGCTCAAATGGGGGCCGAGGGGGCCTAAGCAAAGGAGGAAGAGTCGCGATGTGACGATGATATGGCTTTGGAGATGTGACTATGATGATATGGCGTTGGAGATGTGTCCTCCTTGTGGTCCTTTGCAATGTTGACTGTACCTCGGCTCATTTTCAAACGCTCGAGGCGCGGGCACATGCTGATCTCACCGAGAGTGGCGACGCAGACGGTGCCATTGTGTCACACGGGCCATATTCCCTCAGCCCCTTCCTGGGTCTATCCCAAGGTCTATCCAGCAAGGCCACCCTCCTGGGTCCATCCAGCAAGGCCACCCTCTATCTAGAGCAGCGGCAGCATGGCATCGACTCTAGCCATGAGCAGCAGCCCGGCATCCTCCCCAGCCACGCCGCGCCACTGCCGGACCCCAGCCACGAGCAGCAGCCTGGCATCGACCCCAGCCACGCAGCGCCACTGCCGGACATCCAGGCCAAGGCACCTCGCCCCCATCGGCCCATATGGATCCCATTCACCGATGGCCGGCGGTTTACGGACGCCTTTCAACAGTAGCATCTGGGCTTATCTCTACAAAAAAGAAGGACCACCTGGTGATTCCGCTTCTGAGCGACGGAATCATGGAGAAGAGGAGGATCACCACATTACATAAATAGGAGGGTTGTAAATTAAATTAGAAATTTCCGTGTAACAGAACTGACCCCCCGCGAGCTTTGACAAGAGGAGGGCGCGAGTTAGGAGGTGAGTCATAATCGACGGTTGCGCAGCCCAGCGACAGCCCGTTCGTCGGTGGGTTCCCTCCCCATCGCTATGATGTTGATAGCCGAGCAGGCCTTTAAGGCCGAGGGCTCCTTAAGGTAGAAGACACAACGAGCGACGCACCGCTTCCCAGGAAGCGCCTCGGATGACAGACTGACTGTGTGTGTGTGCGTGCAGCATCAAGCGGACGTTCCTGAGTGTGTCGTGTGAGACAGCCGAGGTGGCCTCGCTGCGTCGGTGTCTGAGTGTCCCGTGCATGCCGAGTGCTGACGACCGAGTGCTCATGAGCTGCAGCCACAAGCCACACCTCCTCGGGGAGGGCGAGGGGGAGGGGGAGCACAAGGAGGACTCACAGACGCGAGTGGAGCTGGCTCTCAGACTCCCCTGTCAGGAGAGGTGCGTGCGTCAAGTCAACGGGTGCACACATGTTGTACGCTGCCATGTGTGTGTGTGTGTGTGTGTGTGTGTGTTGTGTGTGTGAATGGTCCTCCACCAGCGACTGTGTGGTCATGTATGGCTGTGCCAAGCCCCCCACTGCACTCCCCGACTCGCCGTCCACCACGGCCACGCCTGCTCGGTGCGTCCCCCTTCAGCCCGAGAGCCCCCACTCGCTCGACTCGACCTGCAGTGAGGTCCGCGGCCGCGGCGCACGGCTGGCGTCCTCTGTCCAGAACACTATGGACGGCGCTTCATCCGACGTTTCTAGCGTCAGTGCGGGGGGCGGCGGACCGGAGGACAAGACGGTCGCCCGCACCTGGGCGGACATCGTCAAGACACAGCCTAAGGCCGCTGCTGCTCAAGCTAATGCTCATGCTCATGGTCATGGTATCGTGGGCGGCTCGCGCGAGCGCGATCGCGATCGCGAGCGCAAGGCGCCCAACCCGCTGGGCATCTCTGCCTTGCAAGGCACCACCGTCTCCCCGCCCCCTCCGCCCCCCTCCCCCGTCAAATCGACATTGGCGGTGCCCGACACGACGGCCAAGGAGGAGGGAGGGGCTGTTCTTTCGCCAGGCAACGAGGGTGAGGGGGCCACGCCGTTCCCCCACTCGCCGGCCTGCGACACATGCATACCGACGCCCGAGGGCCACCCCCCCACGCCCCCCGTGTGTGGCAAAGGCAAAGCTAACCAAGCGGTCAAGAACACACAGCAGCAGCAGCAGCAGCAGGAGCAGGAGCAGGAGACGGCGGCCAACACGGCGGGCGGCCACTTGGGCGAGGGGGACAAGGGGGGCGGGACGGATGGCGGCCGTGCTTTTGAGGGCTGTCCTGGGGGGGACATCCAGCAGCAGCAGCAGCAGCAGAACCCCCAGCAGCAGCGGCAGGGAGAGCCCCACAATGCTGACGAGGCGCCCCCCGCTCCCGCCAAGAGGACCTGGGCTGACATCGTCAAGAAGCCCAAACCGACCCCCATGGTGGCCAGGCTCGGTGCCAACGGCAATAGCAGTGGCAGCGGTGCCGCTGCTGCTGCTGCAAGTGGTGCAGCAACAGAGGGGCACCTGCAGCAGCAGCAGCGGGGCAAAAAGGAGGCCAGACGGGGCGGTACTTGAGCTGGCCCGCCTCTCGGGAGGGGCCTGTTTGTGCAGTGGTGTCGTCATGGGACATGGGGAGGGGGGGGACTGGTATGGTATGGGTGTGGGGTGTGTGATTGAATGAGTGGCGTGGGCTGCATTTGTCGTGAGCCTGTCTGTCTGTCTGTCTGGATGTCTGGATGGATTCTTCTGCGTGCGTGCGTGCGTGTGCGTGTTTTTCCCGGTGCACCTGATTGGTCCGTCCGTCCGGCAGTGATGCCGGTAGGCAGAAGATTGCATGGCACACACACCGACACACACGACTGGCTGAATTATCGAATATATGATGACACATATTTGTGCATAGGCATATGTGGATAGATTCATGGAGGCGATTTGGACAAGCGAGTGCATGGATGCCATCTGTCAATTATCTCTTGACAAATATATGATGACTGAATGGATGGCTGAGATGGAAGCACCCGAGGACAGCCAGGCAGGCAGGCAGGCAGGAAGGAAAACACATAGACGGAAGGAAGGAGTGGGTGTGCGAATGCCCCGGCTGCCTGCCTGCCTGCCTGCCTGCTTGCATTTCTGTGGGCGTGTCATTCCTCCCACCCCTCCCTCCCCCTGCCCCTTTTCTCGTCACGTCTCTGCCCACCCCATGCTGTGCGTGCGTCCATCTGATGGGATGGGACGGGACGGACGGGCAGGGAGTGGAGTGCTTTTCCTCACCAAGGAAAGCCGGTCTGCATAGACCGGCTCTTTTTCCACAGCGGCGGCACAGCACACGCAGAGGGGGTGTCTCTGTCTGTGTCTATGTCTGTGAGTGCGAGAGTGAATGAATGAATGACTGGCTGCTCGCCTGGCTGGCTGACTCTTGGGCTGACTATTTTGGTTGGTTGGTTGGTCGAGAGGGAGAGATGGAGGGAGGGAGTGTTTTCTTCGTCAAGTTAGCGGTGAGTTTTGTATGGTTTGGATGGAGTGCTGCTAGGCCATGCATGACGCGACGCGCCCGAACACGGCGCGTGCCGATGGCTGACTGGCTGGCTGGCTGGCTGGCTGCTGCACGAACAACCTACCTGACGTGGGAGTCATGGAGTCAGGAGGAAGGGATTGCGAGGGATTGGGAGGCAGGGGGGTTGAAGCAATACATGCAGGATGGATGGCAGGGAGGCAGGTTCATTCGCAGAGAGTGAGTGCTTTTTGTTGTGCCCCGCCCCACTGTCGGCAAGGCAAGCTCACACGACGCAAAAACAACGCATACGTGTGTCCATCTATCCATCCAGCGATTCACGCGCCGCACGGAGGAGCGGCCTGGCCTCTTGGCCCGTCCCTCCGTCCGTCCGTCCGTCCGTCTGCCTGCCTGTCTGTCTGTCTATCTATCTATTGTGTGTGTTGTCGCCATACACACACAAAGACCGTTATATATATATTTTGTCCGTACGTATTGGTATTGGCATGGGCACATACATACGGACGTACGAACGCGTTTCGTTGAGTGAGTGAGGGAGCCGGCTAGTAGAGCAGAGCGAGAGGAGAGAAGTTGAGAGGAGAGAGAGGAGAGGACACTCGACACGACACGACGCGCACGGGGGGCGCCACGCCACACGATGACGTCAACACATAGTATTCCTTTCCTGTCTGCCCTCTTCCCCCATCCATCCATTCATTCATCCATCCGTCCGTTTTCAGTCGGCCGTCGAATGAATGAGTGAATGACTGCGTGCCTTGTTCGTCCATGCCAGCCACCCGCCCCGCCCGCCCACGCCTTGTCTCTCCCTCTCTCTGCCACACACAGCCAGCCAGACAGGCAGCGTAGCGTCCCAATCGATCGCAATTTTTCCATCACACCAGCCTGCAGAGAGGCCGGGAATGGGCAGCGAGCAGTGCAGCCAGGGGGGAGGGCAGTGAGTGGGGACAGAGCGGGTGGTTGTCTGTCTGTCTGTCTGTCTGTTTGGTTGTCGTTCGTTTTGTTGGTGTGGGTGAGGTGGTGTGGGTGAGGTGAGTGACATGCGTGAGTGTGCCAGTGGGGTGGGTGGATAGATCCCAAGGAGGGAAGGCCGTCCATTCGTTCCATCGACGATGAGACCAATAGATAAGACACTCTGATACATGGCTGGCTGACTGCTTGCGTGACTGATATCAACGCACCAACACACCAAGGAGGAAGCCTGCCTGCCTGTTATAGGTATGAAAGCCACGCCACTGACTGGTAGATGAGATGAGCACACACGATTACACTAATCGTTCGTGAGCGGCGGATTTTTCAACCCTTTTCGTTCTGTGTGTCAAGACAGACAGACGAAGTATGCCGCGCCCGCCCTTTGTGTGAGGTCAGCTGTCCCATCCATGCAGGTAGAGAGGCTGCTCTACTAGAGGCAGGCGACAGGCAGGCAGACACCAAGGGTACTTGCGGATGGATGGATGGATGGATGGATGGACAGACGGGGAGAGAGAGAGAGGGGGGGAGAGAGATGGATGGCCGTGTTTGCTGTCCGCACAGTTTCCGATGAGTGGGTCCGGTGCGTGTGGCTAGCTCTTAGTGAGGCGACTGTTGCCGTGTGTCCCGCGCCAAAGGAATGGCGCCACGACACGCGGCAGCAGACGCCTCAGAAGGCTCCTTCCTGCGCAGCATCGGCCCCGAATGATTGGTGGGGTGAGGCTTTCCCGCCGTCCGTCCGTCCGTCTGTTTTTGCCACGGAAGTTGGTTTAGTCGGTTTGGTTCTGCAGCAGTTTTGTGAGGGCAGGCATAACCAAGACGAGAGAGAGAGAGAGAGACCGACCGACCCACCCACCCACCCACACACGCACAGCCCACTCGTCCCGTACCCGCTCATGTGTGTACCATATACCATACTGTTGGGTGGCAGTGTGTGTCTGGCCGGGGGCTTGGGTGGTGCTCGCGAGTGTCTGTCTCTCTTTATCGTGTCGTGCGCGTGATGTGATGGAGGATCGAGAGACCCATCCATCCATCCAGCATGTTTTGGCCGTCGACACATCATGAATATCCCATGCCATGCCATCCCCTTGCATAAATCTGTAGGTCGTTGGCTGCCTCCCTCCCTACTTGCCTGCGAGTGTGCTGTGCCTGTGTACCTACCGCTATTTGTTGCCAGCCCAGCCAGGTCGGGGCAGTCAGACGCACTCACCAACTCACTTGCACGACGGCTGGCTGGCTGGCTGGCTGCATGCCTGTGCCTGTGCCTGTGCCTGTGCCTGCGTCTGTGTCTGTATTTGTCAGCCCGCCATTGGGCCGGCCGGGCGGGCCGATGTGTGTGGCTGCCTCCCTGGGTGCGTGAAGGTTCATATAGAGGGATGAGAGAGAGAAGGGAGCCGAGCCGGGTGAGAGGGAGTTTTGGTATGTTGGAGGGAGGGAGGTCGAGAGGTATCACCATTACAGACAGCATCGTCCCGTGTCTGAGGGGAGTGTCGGGAGAAGTGTGTGTGTATACCTGAGCGTCTATCTGTCTGTCTGCCGTCCACTGACTGACTCACTCACTTCTCGTTGTCGTGTTCGTGCTGGTGGCTGTCGAGGTATGTCGTACGACGCACTTTTTTTTTCCTCCCTGTTTGTCAGTCGTCTCGACTGCGCGTGTTGCGAACCAACCAACCACCCCATGATATGAGTGTGTGTGTGCCTTGATGAATACCCTTGCTCTCATTCAATTCCCCCACACACGCACTTTGATCACTACACACACTCGCACACACATACCCTCCCTCACCGCCGAGGGGAGGGGAAGGGAGGTACTGCTGTCATCTCGACAGACACAAGTACAGCCAGCCCATTGATTCGTCACACAATTCCCGCGTGTGGACGCAGGCAGTCAGTCACACCACCCCCAATCCCCACCACACCGAAAACCATGACATAATCTATCTCGCTCGTTAATAAAGAGGCGACAAACCACTTCGTTTAAAACGAACGGTCCTGAGGCAGACCAGGCAGACCTCACTCACTCGTCGTTCTCGAGGTCCTGCAGAGCCCAACGGACGACATCCGTCTTGCTGCCCGCAAACAACACCTCTCTGCACACACATACACACACAGAGAGGGAGACATCCCCATCCATCCATCCATCGTATGTCTCACTCACCGTCGGCAGAATGGGCACAGCAGCTTTGGCTCCTCAGCGGCAGCAGTGGGCTTGCCGGCCGCCCGTGTCTGCGCCAGCAGCTCCTCAAACCTGCGCTTGTGTGCGTCCCAGCAGACATAGCACATCTTGACCTCCCTGCAGGGCATCAGCTTGACGTCTGACTCCCGCTCATAACAGATCCCACAGATATTCACCAGACGGCCAAACACCGACCTGCAGACACACACACACACACACAGAGAGAGAGAGAGAGAGAGCGTCACAAGGTGCATTCCCACGGCTTATCTGAGCTGCCCAGCCACCCACCCTCGGCTGACGGCTGCCGTGAACGATTTGCCCCACGTTGCCGTCTCGTGAGGGGTGTCTGGGTCGTATGGCGGCGGCGGCGGGCGGGAGTAGGGGTGTGGGTCGGGGTGGTGCGTCGCACCGGGCACGGCCGAGAAGGAATGATACTCACTCGCCAGCCTGAATGAAGAGGCCAGAGGACAGAGGACGCGTGTGACGTGTGTGTGGCCGTCGTGACCGATGGGTGCGGGGCCCTACGTGTAGTGCGGCGGTCCGTTGTAATAGTCGGTCGGCTTCTCGCTCTGGTGGTGGTGATAGTGATAGGGGCTACAGTAGGGTGCCGCCCCCGGTCCGACCACCGCGTCAGTGTCGACGAATCTCTCTTTGCTCCTGGTGAACAAGATGACCGAGTTGCCGTCACGCGCGTGGTGCTCGATGGGCGTCGTCGTGCTGGTGGTGCTGGTGGTGGTATCATCGTCGACCACCGAGGGCGGTGTGGCTGCGGGTGTGGGTGTGCGGCGCGAGCGGAGGTCCCCCCGGCCGTGGGCAAACCGACATTTATCGCCGTTCAAACACCGACCTGCACACAGACAGGCAGACAGACAGGCAGACAGACAGCCATGGTGTGTGAGCCCATCCATCGACACACAGACAGCTTCTCACCTACCTTGTCTGTAGAAGAGGCACATGGAGGTTTTGTATTCTGAGAGCTCGGGTGAGGGCCGCATTTCCTCCTGTGAGTGTGCGTAGCGGCAGTCGGGAACCTCACACGGGAGCTTCTTCCGCACAGACTCACACAGCTGCACACCACACCAACCAACCACATCAAGTTAACACCACACCAAGATTAACGCCTCCCTCCCTCCTGCCCATCCCAGCTAGCTGCCTGGCTGAGCTGACGGACGGACTTTAGTCTTCTCCAAGTTGGGCAGCGGTCGCATCTCGCCCTGAACACACACACACACACACACACACACGCACAGTGTCACGTCACGCCATCTATTTCCCTCTTCTCTCCTCCCTCCCTGCCTCCCGGTCCCTCCCCCCTTCCCTCCCTCTTTATCTCTATCAGACTTACCTGTGAGTGAGCGTAGGTGCATCGTGGTCCGACGGGGCAGTGGCCCCTCAGCCACGCCGGGCACATCTTGGTCTTGTAAAACATGATATTATCTCCTCTGTCTGCAGCAGCTCACGGGCCTAGGCCGTGTGCGGCTTGCTTGCTTGTTGGTTCGCAATTCTATTCTTCTTCTGCTCCTGTGCGTGCGTGTTGGGGTGCGGGGGCCGGTTCGGCTCGGCTACCGCACTTACTGGACGATTTAGCCTTGAGGATGTCCTATTATTTATTTCGTCCGTAAATTCCTTCTTCTTGCGGTGGGTGACAAATACCTGTTTATTGTACTACATACCATCAATCAGTCAGTCTGTCTCTCAGTCAGTCAGTCAGTCAGTGTCCGCATGTATCAGCCCACCCACCACCCACCAGCCGCCGCCAGAGCTTGGCTTGCTTGTCAGTCGACACACAGCGAACACTTGAGGGAGGGAGGGAGGGAAGCAAAGCAGGCAGGCAGAGGTACTGCTTCGCACGCAGGCAGGCAGGCATATCGACATGCAAGAGGTAGGGACAGGCAGGCAGGCAGGCAGACAGGAAATACCGACTTCGCACGCAGCAGAGAAGCCTGTGTGTGCGGCACAAGAGGGAAGGGACGGAGGGAGGGAGGGAGCCTGCCTGCCTGCCATGTCTGTGATGTCTGTCATGTCTGTGTGTGTTGCGATTCCGTGTGCACGCCACAGAGCGGCTCACTTACGGGATGCGGCGTATCAAGCGTGCATCAACCAAGGCAACACAACACAACACAGCACACACATCCCTACCTCACTCAGGCAGGCCTCGCCTGTCTACAGACAGAGGAGGGGGAGGGAGGGAGGGACGTGACAGGCAGATGAGTGGACATGAATGACACGAGAGGAGAGAAACGGCACCCACTCCCCCGCTCACTCACTCCCTGACTGCTCATGGATGGATGGAATGGACCCACCCACCCACCCATCCATCTCTCCAGGCACAAAAGCGAAAGGCCACCACCCGTACCTCCCTCCCTCCCTCCCCTGCGTGTGTCGTCCGTCATCTCATGGAGGCCGACTGTGAGGGCATGGGCCCGGCCTGGGCGTCATTGTGCGGGTTAGGGACGTCCTGCATGGCCGCACTGGCCGCCGCATCGTCACGCTGCAGCTCCGCCTGAATGGGCTGGAAATACCGGTGCTGCATCGCCTCACGGGGCACGATGCGCTCAGCCTGACACACACACACACACAAAGACAAACGAGTGGGCTGGGCGGGTGGCTAGGGTAGGGGAGTGTGTGGGAACATGTTCACATACATGGTCGTATACGAGCATTCTGTCGATGAGGTCGATGACGTCGTTGGACACCAGGTGCTGGTTCTCGGGCGTGATGAACTTGCTCCACGGCTTTCGACTGTGCCTGGTTGAACCAACCACAACACAACCCCACACACAACACACGGCACGGCGCAGAAGCACCCAAGTACTCACACAAGTAAATATAACACATACGACTGCCTGGCTGGCTGGCTGCCTGTGTGGTCTGACTTCACCGACCTGCCCAGTATGTCATCGAAGTGCGGGTCCAGCTCAAGCTGATACTTGTCCACATACGTGTACAGCCCGTCCGTCCCTGCACGACACATCACAAAACACCACACCACACCACATCACACCATGGATGTGCGCGTGTGTGTGCGTATGTGCGATTGATTCGGTGTGGTGGACATACGCTGACCGAGGACGCGTGCGATTTTGACGAGCTGGTCGTAGTTGTCGTGGCCGTGGAAGAAGGGCTCCTTCTTAAACACCTGCACACACACAACCACCAACACACCGACAGGCACACCACTGCCTCCACGGTTGGTTGTCACAGCATCCCAGACAGCACACGCTGGCTGCACCAGCAATCAGTCACTGACTGACCATTCCTGCCAGCATGCATCCGAGGCTCCAGACGTCGAGCGAGTAGTCATAGTGCTGCAAATCCACCAGCAACTCGGGACCCTTGTAATAACGAGACGCTACCTATCAATCACACACACACACACACAGACACACAGAGAGAGAGGCACTGGAATGCCGCACACGTCGTGTGAGGGAGTCGTTGGCGCCTCCCTCCCTTCGTGACCCACTACTTACCCTGACGTTGTATTCCCTGTCCATGTGATAGAACTCAGCCAAACCCCAGTCGATTAAACGAAGATGCCTGCACACATATCATATGCGCACCACACATCCACCTTCATTGCATTGAGTCAACACCCGGTGCGCATGCGCACCTCACTGACTGACCTCTTGTCGTGGTCGATCATGACATTGTGTGGCTTGACGTCACGATGCATGATGCCCTGTGAGTGGCTGTAGTCAAGAGCCTGACACACACAGGCACAGGCACAGGCACAGACACCAAATGCACCAACCGCACCCAGCCAGCCAGCCAGCCACGAGAGTGAGCGAGAGAGTGCGTGAGTGTGTTGCCCGCCCGCCCATCAGTCAGTCAATCCACCGACCCGCCCGCCCGCCGGCCCCATTGCCCACCCGAAGCACTTGGTAGATGTAGTACCGGATGTCGTAGTCCGTCAGTGTGGGGTAGAGGGTCTTGAAATCCGTGTTGTTGATGTACTCAAAGATCTGCATCATGATGACACAGAACAGAACCCACACACCACACCACACACAAAAACACCCATCCACTATTCAATGCATGGGCATGGATGTGCTGCGTGTGTGTGCGCCGACATCACAGGCAGGCAGGCCCCCCCCGCCCTCCCTAGCTTATCGATTCTCCCTCCGCACGCACCAGGCTGGGCGTCTTGGACTGTTGGTCCCTGACGACGTCGAGGAGCTTGACAATGTTGGGTCCGCCAAAGAGGTTCTGCAGTATCTTGATCTCTCGCTTGATCTTCTTCTTTTTGACGGGCTTGAGGATCTTGATGACGCACTTGTCGCCAGTCACACTGTTGATGCCCTCAAACACCTCAGAGTACTTGCCGCGGCCGATCTTCCGGACCACCTCATAGTGGTCCTGGTTGCCCCAGTTGATCTGCAGCATCTCGTAGTCCCAGTACTCCCGCGGACGAGTCGCATTCACCTGGGCATACAGACGGGGCGGACACGAGCTGCGAGAAGAAGCCATGGTCGCCATACGCCGCACGCCACTCTTGAGCATACAACACCAACCGCCGACTCGGCTGCCTCGCCGAGTGAGCAGCGGTAGAGTGGCGGGTGGGTAAGATGGAGGCCTGGGCGAAGCTCAGTCAGCTGAGTGAGTTGCGGGATGCCTGAGGTGCCGGTGCAGTCACCAATCCACCCATAAAGCAGCAACGTCACACTCTGAAAACAACAAGGAACGACTGCCGGGGGTACATGGCCACGCCGCTCAAAGCCAGGCAAGAGGGAGAAAGGAAAAAAGAACACTCACCAAGCTCGCACAGGCGCCTAGGGTGCAGCCTGAAACCGCTGGTGCTGCGGCAAAGATTCGCCACTTGCTGAGCCCATGGCTGAGAGGGATGGCGTGAACGGGAGACCAAGGTGAGCCAAAAGAAAAAGTCAAGATCGCTGTGTTCACTTTTCCTTGACATTTCCCGCTTGTCTCAGCCTGCCGCACCTGGATGGAGTGCAAGAGAAAGAGCGCCCGGCCAGCCCGCTGCAGACTCCCACGACGGCGCCCAGCGTGCAGCACCACGATGACGGCCAGACGCCGCCCGTCGCTGTGAGCCCACTCCCTGACCTGACCATCCAAGCACCCGCCAACCCTTTCGGCCTCTCGTCGTCTGCCCATGAAGAATCGCCCGCCCCGCCCGTCTCGCGGACGCCGTCAGTCAAGCCACCCCCTGCTTTTGCAGCAGCCAGCCTCTCCACCACCCCGTTCGTCGGAAGAGCCGGGTTCCAGATGGACGAGCGGTATCGTGATCTGATGCAGTACCTGCAGCAGACGCCACACAGCAAGCGTCGCCGCATGGGCGCGGGCACCTTCGTGCCCTCAGCTACCAGTGGCTCGGCCGCGGACACGACTCAGTGCCTGCTCTCGGTCCTGTGCGGCCCTCCCGCCCCCCACACGGCCGCCAACACAACCCCCCTTATCCTGCGTGACACCGCCAAGAGCCGCACGAGCAAACAGACCGATCCCGCCGCTTCGATAGCCGTGCTCGGAGGGTCTGTGGCCGATGACGACGAAAAGGAGCTCGACTCACGAGAGCTACAGACGTTCATTCAACACCTCGGCCCACTCACACAGTCCCTGGAGAGGCTCACGGGCCGTATGCCCGTCCAAGGAAAGCGGAAGACACCCCGCCTCAGTGACCGCCTCAAGTACCTGGCAAAGCTGGTGCGGGAGGAGTTGGAGCAAGACAACGTGAAGGGTGGATCGAAGAAGGCGCAGGGGACCAAGACATCGCGCAAGGGCAAGAGAGGCGGTGGCGATGAGGGACTCGGGGAAGATGAGGGCAAGGGCGTCGAGGCAGTCTCGCAAAGACGCACGTAAGTGAAGAGAGTCGGGCTGCCTGTTCACTCGCGTCGTTTGGACCATTCTTTTGTGTCGCGTGTGTTGGCCCAGCTCTGGTCGTCTGCGGATGTTTCCTGCTCACGTGCGCGCTCAGCTGCAGGACACCGAAGACGCAAGGGAGCCATTCACACACCGGTTCGCACAATCCAATCCATGATCAATCCTTGGCCTCTGTTCATCACTGTTTGTCACCCTTGTTTGTCTCATCCCAGGTCGTCATCGTCCAACCCTGTGCAAGACGCCTCCAAGCCTTCATCATCGACGAACCTCCCGTCGCTGGCGCTGCTAGAGGCGCTGGAGGCGTCGGACGCGCCAGGAGACGACAGCAGTGGTGGCGAGGAGGGCCGCCGTATGCCGCCCGGCAGCCGAAAGCGCACGCACGGCAACACGTCTGAGCTGAATCTGTTTCTGAAGGTCAACGACGCACATCACGGCAGAAAGTTGGTGATGGATCGATGTGACGGTTGGTGTGGGTCACGCAGGCGCTGGCAGAGGTGGCGCTTGGCGATGAAGACAAGAAGGAGGGCTCGACCAGCGTGCGAGGCGGAAGAGCAACAGCAGAGGGCGGAAAGTGATGTGATCTGCCTGCGTTAGTCTGGTGGCCAATTTGCTGATTTGCTGGGTGATTGCTGAGCGATGGATCGCATGGAGCGAGGCTGAGGATGTGATCGATGTGGGAGTGATTGTTTCTTTGCCAATTCAGGGAGGACGAAAGGCGAGCGCAGGAGGGGGGTCTCTCCGGCCCTCTGTAATATTATTGTGTGGCGGTTTTGCCTTCTCCCGCCGTCTGTGTGTACCATGGCCGTCTGTCTGTCCGTCTGTCTGTCTGGATCGCACCTACCTACGTATATATGTGTACGCATGGACGGATGGAAACAGACAGAGACACACAAACAGACAAATCACGACAACTCTTTCCTCTCTTCAATAGAATGTCGATGTGAATCAATTGATTGCAACAAGACCGACAGATGGAGGAAGCGCCGGTTCATTTGGATGCGTCGGGTGTGCTGCGAGAGGTGGACGAGCTGCACGCCTCGTTCATCGCCGCCCGCCGTCGGTGCGATCTGCAGAAGCAGATCCGGGAGGGGGAGGGGCGCCACAAAGATCTACTCGCCATCATACAAGACAAAGACAAAGGCACGCCATTGACACACACACACACTGCACTGGTTGCTTACTCACACCTCTCTCTGTGTGTGCGTGTTTGTGTGTGTCTGCAGAGTTGGGTGTGTTGTGTTCGTTGGCTGGTCGGGCGGATGCCGTGGAGGCGCACGAGAAGAGCTTCATCGAGACATCAGCGGCCCTCCACGATCAGCTCACCCAGATGGACCGACAGATTGCCACCCTCAACAAACAACACGACGCACAAATCAATGCACTCCAGCAGCAACACAACAAGAAGGTCACACACAGACAGACAGAGAGAGACACCGGGCAGATGCAGCCATTGACCTCTCTCTCTCTCTCTCTGTCCGTGTAGGTGAGTGAGTTGTCTGACGAGCTGATGCGTGTGCGTGAGGCCGAGTCCACACTCGCGGCGCAGCTCACCCACACCAAACAGCAACTCAACCACACACACGCCAAGTAAAGACGTGTGTGTCG